TTCATCATAATTTTTTTGTTTTTCCGAATTAAAATTTTGCACTTTGACAGGTTCGTACTACTTAATCCACAAAATCCACCTTAATTTGTTGATGAGGCAGCAAAAAAACTGCATTTTGACAGGAACATACTACTTAATTCAATAATCATCATAATTTGTTGGTGAGATGGCAAGAAATCGTACTTAAGCTGGCAGTCACTACCTAATCACCAATATTCACCATAATTTGTTGGTGGGGCGGCAAAAAAGTTGCATTTGTCATAACATACTACTTAACCCACAATAATCACCATAATTTGTTGATTAGGCGGCAAGAATTATTATACTTAAACTTGCGATACCTAATCCATTCGCCAGTTTTCAACAATAATTTTTTTTGACAATGAAAAAAATTGATTTATTAAATTAAAGTGACGATTGAGTTTTTTTAAATAGAAAAATTGACAATGTGTTACGGATTAATTGGTAGCCAAGTTCCAAAAATAAGAATTTACACATTTCAACAAGAAAATTTCTCTTTTTAAAAAGATAGTTCCTACTCACAGTATGTTGTTTTATCGATCCGGATTTCGAGTTTATAACACATTGTCAGGTTGTAAAACTTCAACCTGATGATGAGCTATAAGCTCGAAATCCGGATCGATGAAAACAACTTACTGTGAGTAGGAACTTGAGTAGGAACTATCTTTTTTAAAGGATTGAACACACTCACTCCACCATCATTTCTAGAAAATTTCTCGTCTAGGGCAAAAAAAAAGTGCACATGAAAAGCAAATTAATTACGTTTTTCCAAAATATTTAGTAATTTCCTGTGGAAAATCATTTTTTTATTTTGTTTATTTGTATGTTTCGGTTTAAGACCGAACCTTTCTGGTTTTTAATATACTAATATAAACAGGGAAGATGTGTTTCGCCGGACTAAACATGATAAAAACTGTTAATTTTTCAGAGCAAAATCGGGTCGAGGCCGCTTACTTTGAAACTACGCTTTATTAATTTATTTTATTTTTCAACAGTACGGAAATTTTCCTGGTTGTACTTAACACGATGGGTGAAAAATTGATGTGCCGCATTTAATTTAACCATGTCTGCAAAATTACGCATTTAAGAAAAAAACTCTGATGTCATTTTTAAATTTTTAAGCGTTTCTCTAAAAGAATTTAATGAGTCGTACTAATTTTGTTTGTTATTTTCAATACTGAATGGGCTCAATTTGAATTTAAATAAATCTTAATTATGTTAAATTTCACTTATTTTACTAAAAAATAAATAACATGCCGCATACAGCACAAAACACACAATTAATAAAATAATATTTCTGTAAATGTGTTCACTGTCAAGCAGACGAAATGTAGACCCAATTAGTAAAAACAACACCACAAAATAAAGACAATTACGTTTAAAGGCAACCATAAAAATTGGTAACCAGAAATAAACAATTCAATATTACACAAAACAATCAATAAAAAAAGCTGCTGGGGGTGTAGATTAAGTTCCATACCAAGTTTTTTGTTTTGCTTTTTTAAACTTTTGTATGTAGTTACAATCGCAATTTAACAACAAAACTATTTTTAAAAATGTTCCCTGCAGAACAACTTCCAGTACAATTAATGTATCTACATCGAGTCGACATTGTAAAACTACAACATGATAAAATGACTAAAAAAAGAACAGAGGGAATTTTTAAATGTATTAGACACATTACTAAGGATGGCACAGAACCTAACTAACTTAGAAAATTTAATTAAATAGATTTATTAATTAAAACTTGTCAAAAACCCTGTCTGTTTATTGTTATATACACAAAACTAGATAAATTTGGGTTTCATGCATTGATGTCCTTAATAGTCTACTAATGTTCAAACCGAGGTCTAGGAAGCAAGTTAAGGCTTAAGGGGTTTTCTTCAGTCAAACAGGGTGCAACTATTCACTTTGATATTTGGATGTCCTTGGAGGCATGACATATTTAGCATTTCATGTGACCACAGCAAAGATGTCCAGCACCCTCAGGTCTCAAGGAAAAGAAATGTTTATAACACAGCTAAATTGCTTTTTTGACAGCCTCACAATTGTAAGCATAGAATGGTTTAGGATCTGTTTATACGCTGAAATAGGTGGATTCAGAGAGAAGTGACTAACTGCACTAACAGCGCAAATTCATCATCAAATAACAAAGTCGAACATAGGATACAGTTTTCTTTTCTTCATTATCAAGCTTATATTGTCAGTTGAAATAAACTGTGGGGCGGTTTTAGTTCTGTGCTGATTATAGATGTTAGATGATATTATAGATTATATTCTTGTAGAATTAGATGTGTAATTCTGACTCTATCCAAAGCTTAATGACTGAAATGAATGTTGGATATAATTACATTATTGAAGGCTTTTAGTAATTATATTATATCAGACATAATGTATTTACTTTAGTATTCAAGCTAAGCATCATGTAGTAGGTCTTAGGATTAAAGATTGTGCATTCTGCCACTAGTTTACAAATTATTTTTTGACAAATGTAAGCTTGTAGAACTGTCTGACTTGTTTTGACAGACGTTTTCTAGCCAGTAAAATGTTCCCAAGTAAACAGGCATTGAAGGCAAGAATGCCATACATCACACTGAAAAATATTTCTTGGCCTTGGAGTTATTCCAGATACACAAAAGCCTATTTCCTTTTTTATTCTGATTCATCTGTATACCAAATATATTTGAGGTGCCAAATATAAAAAAGGCAATAAAAGCCCGTGCAGTTATAGACTGAAGATTAGAAAGACTAAGATAAATGTGACTCACACCAGTGAAAGTAGATGGCCACAGAGGCAGTAATGCTCTCAAGTTTATCATCCACTTGCAGGCCAAAAAGCACAACAAAATTGAACAAAACATTTCTGTTTTGTAAGCAGTTAGGATCGATTTAAGGTGCTTTTTATAAAAGAATTCATTCAAGTGGTCATCAGATAAATCTACAATTTAAGTGTACATAAACTGGTTTATTTTGTTTTATGTTCATTAAGCATCCAATGAGAATTGCATTTTTCAAAAACAATTTAGCTTTAAATGTTAAGCTGAGAAGTCAAGTTAACAGATGATTTATTATTAAAAGTAATGTTATCATTTTTCATTATCTTAATTCTTAGAATAAGCATAGTTGCAGTTTTTTAAAACTCTTTTTACACTTAATGCGGATGAAAGCACTTTAAGAAAACTATTATTCATTCATGTTAAAGATGCAACTCAATACACAATTTTTTCTGTTGCTTATAAAATCTTTAACTAGCAATATCTCACAAGTGTCCACATTAGCTAGTAAAAATTACTGTATTCAACATTCCGTAATTAATTATAACACAGTATCTTACCGTATAAACAAATAATTAACTATACCAATATTTTTTCAACTTTTATATATTTTAAAATAAGTCTGTCATATTATTATCTTAAAAGTACAAAAGTACACAATGTTGAATATGTATTACCCGTACACTTATTGCAAGAATTTGCAGGTTTTCTAATTTGTTGAATTTGTATTATATATTTTATCATATTTGTCACACACTGTGATAAACTGCTGAATTTGAGACTAAATGTTTACGAAAAAGACATTTTTTAGTAAATTTATGTGGTGTCAATTTGTCTATAAATGGATGATAAGCTTGTTTTAAGTACATCTCTCAAGGTTCATTTACTACTTTTTTTCTTGCCAATATGTTAAGTCATCACATTACATTCCACACATCAAATATTTTTCACATAATCTAATTTCCCAACAATTTAGCTTTCCTTTTCCTATTTATCCTTTTCTGTATAATCCTGACAGGATAATCTGGCCGAACCATTACCAACACATTTTTTTCCCTTCGTCAGCTCTTTATTACCTTTATTACCTCAAAGAAGCCGACATCTTATACAAAAATCTTGTCTTTTCTATACCGACATCCTTCCCCCTCCCTCAAAATCCAACATATATAAACACAAAATAGCAAAATCTCACTGGCACTCTCGACACGACACGCAAAAATGGCATAATTACAAAGAAGACAAACACTTTGAGTGAGTAGAAATACTTTGATTGAATATATAAAAAATATATTTTGCTTTGTATAAATTCACTTTTCCACATCCAAAATNTGTACATAATTAAATTGTCATTTACCACATGGACATGGATTGTCATGCACTACAGTTTTGTCATTAGTGTTTTCTTTATCTATGAATCTTTATCTATTTATCTGATGTATACATCAGAAATCATATCTGCTCCAATTTTCCTAGTAGACTTTTGAAGCTCTGACCGACTTCCACTTCAGCATAAAGTGGGAAATCAATTATAGACTCTTAAGCCAATCAGAGGTTGAAAAGTGCTACTACGAAAATAAATGAATGTGCTGCATGAGTTTAATACAACCTTACACTGAGGAAATAACCAACTTTAAAAGATAAATTAAGAGAACTTGCAAAAGTAGTGGTGTAAATAAGATTTACATGAGCAGAGTATGCAATAATCATAAGGATATTTTTTCAATTAAGTAACTCGACCCATAGACTCACCTAATATTAATCAAACATTATAAACTAATAATAGATTTTTTTCATAAAGCTACTAAATTAAATTGTTTGAATTCATCGTGGGATCTGCAGGGAGAACCTGTTTCTGATCATTTTGGTCTGCTTAACCTCACAATATTGGTCTGTCAGACGCATTTGATTGCATCATCTTAAGTGGTGGGTCTGTGGGTGCATTTAAGGCCCGAAGTCCAAACAGTGAGGGTAGGCAAACTAAAACAATCAAAACTAACCAAACTTAGACATTCAGGCTCAGCGCCATCTGATTTGAAAATCTTAATATTGTATATCTTTTGTACTTGGTACAATGACACTGATGGATCTCAAAGGAGAAGAGGCTCTGATGACATTAAGAAATATTGCTCTCTTGGTACACAATCACAATCAAGTTTGTGTATTAAACCCGACATAAAATAATCAAACAAATAAAATTGTTATTACCTTAACACAACCATATCCTGCTTCTTCTTTGGCAGTCTTGTTTCCTTTGTGGTCCACAGGCTCGTCACAGTCTAAAAAATCGAGTGGCCTGAAACAGACAAAAAAATGAAGACCCATGAAATCAAATTTTGCTTTTTGTATCTGTTTTGCAACAAAACTGCACTTTCCTAGGTGCCTGTTCACACACTTCTCTTGGTGTGAAAGTTCCCTTGTCGAAATGGTTATACCATACATGATGGCCATGGGCTAGTGTTTCATAGTTCACAAAGTATACTTGCTAAGCCTCGCTTTTCCTGAGATTCAGCATATTTCTGTTTCTGCTGCTTTGCCCATCCTCCCCCCCCAACTATGAGGTCATATGAACCCTCCAGATGCCAGTGTTTGAAAAAAAAATTGCATGTATGTCGGGTTCAAATGTAGGGCCTTTGGAGTTGTACCCAGGATCTTGACCTTACAGTGGTGAGCACCTTGTCAATGCCTAAATCGTTGCAGTCATGAAGCTAGCTTGCCCAACTTCTTTACATGAGATCTTCATATATCTCTATACTTTTCCTCAAATCTTGCCTGCTGAGAGAGAGAGGAACAACTTCACCTTTCTTTTTGAGAGAATGTATAAATCTCTTAGCTTAGTTAGCGTAGTAGGACTTCATGTTTTTGTCCAGTGCTTGAGTTTTTCTTTTTCAAGCCATTTTTCTAGCTCCAATGTCAACATACCATCTTTGGCTAGTTGGTCAAGCTGTTCATTTCGTTCTATACCTTCATGTCCCGGAAATCACCTTAACGTAATCTTGCTGTATTTTCATAAAGCCTTTAGGCAATTTAATCATTCCCAGACTTAATGGTCTGTGAGTCTGTGAACTCAGTTGTACCTACACTGGGTTACTTATTGGGGCTCACGGATTAACCAAATTATTCAAACACGTTTTGGTATTGCATCATCATCAGTGAGGCACTATTTTGGAATGTGTTAGAACATACAGTTCCTTACTGAACATGGTGCAATGCTGAAATGCTTTTGAGTAATTCAATAAACCTGCAAGTGTACACATACCCAACAGCTGCCCGACTGACCAAAAGTATGTAAATCTATGAACTTTTCAAATTCTTCTTTATCAACTCCAGTGCACAGAGTAAGCTTGCAAAATTGTTGGGACCAATCAAACGGTATAATTCTAGACCTACTCGTAGTGTCATCTTTGATCCATATTTGCATACCTTCCCAAAACTTAGGGTTGCCTTTCTTCCAAAGATCTCTGTTACCTATGACCACTTAGGATGATTTGTCAAAGTCGTGTTTTCCTCTCGTTTTGTCAAGCACTTAACTATCTAATTTATTTTAATTCTCTCCATAATTTTGTGACAGCTTTTCCTTAGATGTGGTTTTATTATTTGTGTGTCAGGAGTCTGTTAGTACTCTTGAAAGCAACCTTATGTTCATAAATATGTAGGTGAAAATCAAGTGTGGTTTCTGTTGTTGTCGTAGAATAAATATGCATTGCCAGTAATATGTTAAGACATTAGGTCTTTGTTGACTTTCAGTTTGTTGTGCTTAGTGTGTCTCCTTATGCAGAGCTTTTGATTGAAAGCTCCATCCAACCAGGGGTCTGATCATTGTGGTATAAAACCAATTTTTTTTTAATGTTGTTTTAGACACCAATGCTAATTATGATATTTCAAGAGTATAACAGAAAAAATATATTTAAATCCATTATATTTAGTGGTCTGATTGACCAAATTACTTCTTCAATTAATTAATCTTTTTATGTAAGGTTTTGGTTGAAATGAAAAAGTTAAGAGTCATGAGCGGGATTCGAACCCATGACCGGATATGTTTGTCAGAGCAATACATGGATTCCTCACATATTGTCTGAGATTACCGACCGTATTTACCGTACCAAAAATGCAATGTAAACGACCCATTTTAAAAAACTATGTTGAGATGAAAAGTGGGTGTTGTACATAAACTGCCGTGCAGTACCCATCGACAACATCAACAACCACATCGCTTGGTCTATGTGTTCAAACAAAACATTCTATGAAAAGATTAATTAATTGAAAAAATATATTTAAAGTTGTAATTCAAATCTGCTATTATTTTTTTCTTAAACTTTCAGAATTAAAAAATAAACAACCACTTGTCTGTGAGATAACTGATGAACTAACTAATGAACTACTGATGACTGTTTCAACTGCCACTTATTAAATTGGCATTTATTACGAACATACTTGGTACTTACAAGAAGGAACATTTGACTAGTGGAGCGTGTGGATGGTACTTGGCATCGTCCCTCGGCGCTTGGTGAGTCCTGTTGCCGAGAGACAGGCCGACCAAGATGGAAAATAAATGGGCTAAAGCAAACCACTTCAGAAACATAAGTGAATCTCTAAATACATTTAAAAATTGAAGCGAGCCAAAAAAGAAAACGAAACGACTAGGAAGTCAAGATACGTCAAATGGACGGAAGGTACAACACGGTTCTTAGGTAGGTGCCAGCTAACGGTCTCGCTGATTTCGATGACGACACGAATAGTATGAACCAACCACAAAGTATATGTACCAAGCTTTTTCTTCATCAGTTTCAGAGAGGGTGGAATGAAACTAGGCGTTCTGAAGTGTTTAAGTAAGTTTAAATGTTACTCGTGTTAGAAGGCTGTATGAAAACGTTATTAGAGGAAAAATCAGGATAGTCAATATAATTATATATCAATTCGTCCAATGCGTCAATCAGTTGTCTCGTGTTTGGATTCGAATTACACAACTATAACAAAGAATTGGGCACAGAATGGCTGTATAAAGTAAAAACCTGTAACAATTACTGAAATTTGCATTATTTCTACTAATAAATCCAATGGTCTGATTAGCTTTGTGAGTGATTATAAATTTAATATGATTTTTACACTTCAAGTATGTTTAAAATGAAGTTCAATATCTTTTATAGAGGTAAATTATTATTAAATTACAATTATTTATTCAATTAACCTCGAATAATTTATAATCATATACATAAATAGAATTGTATTGATTTTTTGAGTTAAGGGACAATTTATTGTAAGTACATGTTTTCCTGCACTTTGGTTTACTATTTTGACTTATAGATTTAAAATTGTTGTTTCTTCTAAGTAGTAATTAACAATAAATATTTCTGAAACAATAAAATGTTTGTTTAAATGTTTTTAGGGCTGTTGATATTGATTTCTCTAGGTTGAAAGTTTGTCAAATAGCCAAAGGAAGCGCTGTGGCAATAGTAGTGGAGATGGAAGCTTCCAAGTTTTATCCGTGAATTGGAAAAAGGAAGGTATTGTTTTCATTTTATTCACTCGCTTTAATTAATTAATCATTTTAATTGTACTTGTTTAAAAACAAATCTTTGAATGTGAGTTGGTTTTTTAGGAGGGAAAACGAAGGAATATTTATATCAGTTTGTTTTTGCGTTCCACGTAACACAACCATTTGTATTGTTTTTGTCTCTCATTTTCACTTCACCCCAGGTATAACTGATTTACCGCTTTGCCAAAAATAAATAAATTAAATTTGTGATATTGTTTGTTGTTCAAACCGAATTAAAGTATTGTTTTTTTGATGTTGAGTAGTGAGATAATGGGCGAACCAAGTTCAAAAGACACCATCATGAAAATGCTCCTTTCAACACCCAATCCATCACAAGTTTGTTTTCATTTATACTTTACGTTTCGTTTAATTCGTTTTGCACGTTTGAATGTTAACTGGCTTTGTGGGTTCGTTTGCTATTTCAATGTGACACAATACTGTGTATTTGTTTTCTAAAAGATCTTTTTTCTCTCTTTTCCTGTTTAGGCCGATATACAAGCTGCGCTAACTGTCAAAATGGACAAACAGAGCCTAATGGCCATCAGGGAGTCCGTTATAGGGACATCAAAATTGAGCAATTATCTGCAACAATTGAATGGACAGGTTTGTCATATAATTCTTTTTTTAGTTAATTTAATTTGTGTTGTATAGAATGCATGTTGGATACAAAGTGCTCTGGTCGTCTTTTAACTGTTAGTGGTAGAGGGGTGTCAGTGGCTGCAACGGTTTAGGCGTTGACACGGTGCTCATCACTGTAAGGTGAAGGTCCTGGGTTCAAATCCAGTGGCCCTGCATTCGAACCCGACATACTTATAAATGTTTTTTTTTTTTTTTCAAAAGCAACAGCACCCCGAGGGTTATATAACCTCTGCTGTTGCGAACCCTCGTAAAAAAAATAAATAAATAAAATAACCCACACTCACCAACACAACACGCTTAACATATCCTTAGAAGCATTTCAATGCATCTGAGAACACCCAGATATGTTTGTCAAAGCAATATGGGTTCTTCACATATTGTCTGAGATTACTGACTGTATTTCCATAAAGATTCCCTCGAGAAATATAATGTAAACAACCCATTTTAAAAACTAACTGGTGATAAAAAGTGGTGTTGTAAATGTATACTGCCATGCAGTGCCCATCGACAACACCAACAACCATATCGCTACAGTGATTCTTTGGGTATCTCTGTGATGACTGAAGTAGTGTACTATTTGTTCGGGTGTATCGACCCACTTACGTAAAGGGTATGGATGCATTTATGAATGTCTTGCGCGGGTGAAGATTTCAACTGACTGGTCTTTAGGACTGTTATAGAAATACAGAATAATCATTGGTCAGGTTTGTTAAAAACTTGTAACAATAACAAACAGCTCTCTTGTATATATTGAATATATTTCGGGACTCAAATGTCTCCTCCTCAGCAATAACTTTCGCCAGCCTCAAAGTTAGTCACATCCTACAAAAGAAAATTAGCTCTTTAGCTTTTGTAACCTCTGGCGAAGGAGAAAAACTATGAGTATTGACCATATCTGGTGTAACAAACATATATTAAGAATTACAATGTGTTGCTGAGTGATTAGGATGTCCGACTTATATTTGCCACGCTAGTGCTTCTGGGTTCGAATCCTGGCTGTTTTTTAGTTGATTGTAGTATGAAAAATGTATTGTAAAGTGTTTTCAACCCTTGCCCGTGCCACCCAATGGTTAGTGGGATGTTAAACCCTCCTGTATTATTTTAGTTTTAAGAATTATGCATGTTGCATTAAAAGAAGGGAGCAAAGCCTTTCAAGGCACAAATTTACCATTTCAATCGGATCATTATACGGACAGACTGTCAGTTAACCAGAGGGAAATGAGGTTTCACATCTCAGCCTAAATACCAGGCATATGACCTGATAAAATTGTGTGGCTACTTAGTTAATCGTTCAGAATCATCACTGCGGAACATTACACATAAAGTAAGCATTTATGGGAGCCCTATAGGCAATCAAGAATGATTGGAAATGACCAAGTTAAAAAAAAAAAATCTAATAAAAGAACTCTGGCCTTTGACCAAAGGATTGATTGTTAACTTTTTTCGCTGTTGTATAAAGCAATAACCTAAATGCAATCAACCCACAAATATACCCTTGGCTACAACTGTTAAGGCATTCACCTAGCAATTCATGTGTGTAAGAGTCCCAGATTCGAATACGGGAATGCTTAAAATTATGGCTTTATTTAAACACTGGCATTGATATATCTAATATGATTTCTGCTAAATCTATTAAAAAAACAGTAGTGTAAAAGTGAATTGTATAAATATTTATTTAAGCATTAATTATATTTTTTTCTTTTTCTAGGGAGAAAAAATAAATCCTATCCAGCTAGACCATTGTTATTCCAAACCATGGAACTGGAGGCCTGATAATAGCTATGTTAAACCAGCCAAAACACTTTTTGTAACAAACCCTCTCATCAGTACTAAAAGGTAAAATTAAAAGAAATTTTTTAGTAATGAACAATGTTAGATTTAGTTGTTAATTTTCAACACATTTTTACAGGGAACTTGAAGAGGATATTGATGTTGATATTGAAAACGAGGCTCCTAAGCCTGCTTATGATGAGACAAGGGGTTATCAGTTGATGAACGAAACGGAAAAGCACATTAAAGCTCTTAGGTCAGACCCTGGAGAAGAAAACTGGGATAGTTTAATCGACAGGTAACATTTTCTCGTGTTAATCGCACGATTCGTATTGACCCGTTTTGCCTGTAGGACGGACTGGACACTTGCGCAGAACAGGCTCTTCGACAGGACAGCCAGAATTCTTCATAATGACCGTCTTGCCCGTCTGACGTACGAAGGCTCATGGAACGAGCCTGTGCTAAGAAGAATTGCAGTTAACAAGAGCGCGAGGCGTCTGCGTACATTATTTTCCACATTTGCATGGCAGACCAAATTACTCCAGTGGCTCCATTCCACATTGCTTGAAATTTTAGAAACCCCTTATCTAATTGCCTATGTTGATATTCTTCAGGTATGTATTTATATTATTTATGTATTTTATTATTTGAATTATTAGACTTAATAAATAATTAATGATTATTAGTCAATGCTTTTATTTATTGGAAGTAACGACCTAATTGCACAACAAATCAGTAATTGCTTCTAGATTATAATTACTTTTTCCATGTTTTAGACTCTTAAGAAGAAAGTTCCAATTTTGACTGAGAGGATTTTAGCCAATCCTATACAAGGTGGAAAATCTAATCCAGAGGCTTTGAAAATCCTATTGAAAAAATCTTGGGATCCCACTTCTTCTGCACTAGCTTGTCATTTGCCGGTATCGTATTTTTTGGAAATGTGCTTAATTAAATAAAACTATTGAAACATGACAAGTCTTATTTCATATTTGCAGAAGCGGCTTCCAGGAAACCCGCTGATTGTTGTCGTACCGAGCGGTGCCGGTACGAACAACCTCAACAACCCAAAAATCCAACGGTGGCATTCTCACTTCTCCACGATCGGGACTGTTGTCGTAGTCTCAACCAACAGTGAGTCTTATTGGTGTAAGGTTATTAGACGCAGTCACTAAAGCATTTTATTTCAACAGATCTGAATACGACGAAATCAACTGTTGTAACAAGTTTGGATCATATGATAGCCTCGACTCGGGCCAGGATATCCGAACTGAAAAGCGAACACCCTGGTAAAAATATCATACTAGTCGGTTTTAATTCTGGAGCAGCTTTGGCGTGTCAGGTAATTAATCGATTAATAATGGACAAACTTGGATATTAAGCAAAAAGTGGACCTTGTGCAAGAAAATTTAAATCTTTTGTGTATTGATTAATTAAATTGTGTATAACGGAGTTTTCATACCAAAGGAAGTCTAAAAACGTTATGCCTTTTCTGTGAGTTTTTAACTGCAAAGTTTAATTCCTGGTGTTGCCTTTTTAATATTTTTAAATAATTAGAATTTAGCAGTAGTCCGATCCCTTGCCTACATAAATCCGTACAAGTATGATAACAATTATTTTACCCCATAATGTAGTACAATTTAACTTTCCATTAAACTTAATCAGATCCCATTTTTTTTGCAATTTAAGTGTACTTTTTTAATATTTTAATTTAATACATACATAAATATTTATTTTAATTGTTTAGGTTGCATTACTTGAGCCAGTATTAGCCGTGATCTGTCTGGGTTTCCCAGTAAATACAGTTGATGAAAAAAGAGGCCAACCCGATGATACTTTGTTGAACCTCAATGTTCCTATTTTGTTTGTTATTGGCCAGCATGCTGCGACCGCTCAGTGAGTATTTTGTAAAATGATTTCGATCCAATATTATATATTAAAACAATATTATAAATTCAGAGTCGAGGATGTTGAAGATATGAGGGAGCGATTGAGGGTTGAAAACGGCCTAGTCATTGTTGGAGCAGCTGATGATCAGCTTAGGATAAACAAGAGCAAACAGAGCGCAGAAGGCATCACTCAGACCATGCTCGATCGCTGTGTCGTCGTAAGTTTTGTGAATTTTAATACAAAAAGAACAAATAATACGAGACACAATTGCAGGATGAAATAGCCGATTTTGTTGGAACACTACTCCTTGAGCCGTTTAACATATCAAGACAAGAAAACACAAGATCGAGGATTAAAGTAGTGGAGAAAAAAAGAAAAATAACAATCAATGATGATTTATTTATGAGGAAAAGTATGTTTTTAGTTTTCATGTTTTAAGAAGGCTCCATTTATTTTATTTTACTCGATTGTTTCAGGTGTACAGTCTGGAACAAATATTCAACAAGGTGCTTATAATTGTAAGTTTATTAGAATATTACTACTATTTAGTAATATTAAAATGGGCTTTATTACTTATGTCAAAGTTAGAACGTTTATTATCAATTAATTTTCTTTCTGTATGATTTTCAAGAAAAAAAAAGTCATAAATTTTCATTGACAGTAAAAAATGAGAGATTATACAAAATGTTATTTTTCTTTGGCAATTAATCTTATGGCTTTGTTTATTATTGTTTCAGCATCTCTCAATCCATATATCAAAAGGGGGAAAACAATTACTGCGAGAGGAGTCGGACGGACAAAATGGACTGGACAGGTAATTTCAATTTTTTACAGATTTTCTTATTGATTTTTTTTCTCACTAATAACTTGCTACTTTTTGTACCAAGGGCACAAATGAAGGCTTGTCTCTTCAGAAAAAAACTGTATTAAATAAAGATTCAATTCTAACTAACTCTAAACAGGCGGCAGATAAAATCGGATCAACAGTTAGAATAAAATGTAAGTGTTGTAATTTTTTTTACTGTTAATAAAGAAATTAGTTGGTCGATAAACCAATCAAGAGTTTGTTTGGAATAAAGGATTAAAAAAAAAAACTTTCTCAGCTACAGTGGTGTTGGTTCAAACAAGCTCTTTACTGTGCGCACCCTGGTATCTCAATTTTATTGGGGTTCCCTCAAGTAGACTTTTAAGGTGTTCAGACAATGGTTGTGTCATCCTAAATGCGTTATTTTCTATTAAGATATTACAAATATATGTGAACTTTTGAGGTATTGGATGTGTGCATAAGTTTTTTCGGTTTTCAGAAAAAAAGGTAAAATTATCACAAAAATATATTTTATTTTTGATCCATAATATAACAAACATATTTCCTTTATTTTCTGTAACTTACTGTCAATGTTTTGATAGCAGAAAACAATCCCTTTTGTAAAAGTCTGATGACAGACAAGAAGAAATCAGTCTTAATCAAATAAGTCTGATTTTCAGAATGTTTTCGTTCGAAAATTCTCTACCTTTTAAGTGGTTATCTAGGGAACGGAACAAGTAAAACAGGAGTAAGGTCTGGAGAGTACATAGGGTGGGCAAATTTTTGCCGGCTTATTTGGGGGTTTTTCTTTTGAGTCCAGCTGTATGATGCCTAGTATTGTGACGGTGAAACACAACGTTGCATCTATTCACCAGGGCTATACTTTTTTTCCTTCAAGGCTGTTCTAAAATGCTCTAGCTGCATACAATATACCTCTACTGTAAGGGTTTGATTGCGTGGCAACAGTTCTCAATAAATTATTCTTCCAAACAGACAATAGAATTTTATGAAGGAGCAATCCTGCGCTTAACATTTTTGTAAAGTAAAGTGACCAAATAAAAATAATAAACAGGGGGCATCGGTGGCTGTAACGGTTTAGGTATTGACACAATGCTCATCAATGTTAGGAAAAGTCTCGTGTTCAATCCAGCATCCCTGCATTTGAACCCAACATTCTTACAAATGGTTTTTTTTTTTCCAAAACACCAGCACCCCGAGGGTTGATATGACCTCTGCTGTTGGGAACCCTCATAAAAAAATTAAATTTTAATTTAAATTAAAAAATTAATTTTAATTAATTCAAAAAAATAAGCTCTCAATTTATTCCTATTCGGATATAAAACGCAAGGAACAATTATGGTGAACCATGAATTGAGTTTTCCAGCATAACCCAGAGATCAAATTCTTTTTAATGCGATGTACCTGAAATCTGTCTGATAGCTACAGTTAATTTGTCCTCATCCTCCATTGCCACTAGTAAGTGGTCGCTTTTATTGATGTTAAATAATGAGCTAGTCTGTAATGCGTCTTTCTTCATTGCACAAGTGGAATCACTGCCAACTCATGTTAAGCGGCTATGATATCACCATAAATACCATATTAATTTCTACATATGCATCCTCTACTATATGCCTGAGATATTACCTCTTATATGGCTCAAATTAATTTTCTCTGCTTCCATGTCGTATGCATTGCAGTTTATTCTAGACTGAATTTTAAGATCTTTGTTAACAATCTTTTTCAACAGATTGGCTTTTTCTTACCTAGAGCTAACACTGGGCTAGCAAGTAATAATGAATCACCTTTATAAGGAAAATCAAAATGAAAAAAAAAAAAATGCCCACATCCAACACTAACATGTTCCATTAGTTTTAAACAAGCACACTTACCACTGTAGCTCTGTTTGCTTGAAAACCCATTTTATGATTTCTAAAACTGTAATTTGGAAACTGTGTATTCATTCCTTAATAATATAGGGATGCATTTAAATGGTTGTTTATGCGAACAGGGCCATTCCCAATTAGTTTGGACTAGTGGAACTATTATGTATTATATATAACCAGTTTTATTGTAATAGGTTTTGAATTTTTGCTTAAAATTAATTCAAAGTTAACCCATCATTTTAGAAAGAAAGATTTGTTAATTGTTGTTAAATATTTGAAATGATGTTTAAATAAGAATAAAAAAAAAATTCGGGAGTTCTTATGTGTAGAACAGTGTTATCTCAACTTTCTTTCATTTTAGGCCTGACCCCAGATACCAGAGTCAATCAACAGTTTAAAATATTACCGCAGTTCAAATGTATGAAATACTACTAGATGGAAAAGTTCACATAAAAAAAAAATTCTAATGCTGATTTATTTATGTTTTTTCAGTTATCGGGAAAGATGAGATTTCTAGTGTCACTACGCCAGACAACAGCTTTGTTGATCAGCTTACACCTGATCGGCTGCTTGAAATGCCCGTAATAATTCAGGATGACTCACTTGGTGACCAATTGAAGGTAAATTTTTTAATTAAATACTGTTTATTTATTTCCTTTTTTTTTCTTTTTCTTTTTTTTTGTATGACCTTATAGAACATTTTATTAAAAATATGATAGTATGAGTTTAATTAGGTTGTTATCCCTGAGGACGGAATGCCATCAGGCCAATCGGAAGTTCAGTGTGCGACAATATTCTTAAAAAACAAAGATGCTCTCAGGACAAGGGATGTTACTGATGAAGGAGTGTTAATCATGAGGGACACCCAATCGAGAAATTCGTCTATAACCAAACATATATTCAAATGATGTAATGTAAATAGTATTTCTTTGTATGATAATAAACTTTTTTTTACTTTCTATTTCTTTAATATTGTCTTTTCAATATGTAAGTAAATAATTTTGTAAAGTTACCATTAAAATAACATTCTAGCGTAAAAGGTTTTATTTATTTCCTACTGTCCCTTTTCAAAGTGTATTTTGTATTATTACACCAAGGGTGTTCGTCAGTACCTTTTATACAAGAAAATAATCTCAAGATTGATTTTACATCTAGGGGTTTTTAATGATAAAAATTGCTGTTTACCATTCAAAATGTGACACTCGCTCAACGATATATATATATAAACAAATAGGAACAAGTGACATAGTGTTTGAATATAAAAATTCAACACGTTGATAGTACAAGTACAATAAAAATAGTATTATTGAGAGATAACTGCACCTTTGGATGGGATTGTCAGACAGGGCCATGAGATCAAAGGCCATTAATGGATGGCTCACAGCTGTTTTCAACCGTCCGGATTTCGAGCTTATAGCTCATCAGGTTGAAGGTGCTCACAACCACGTCTCTCTATGAATTGCAAGACCGACGCCCCGGCCAATGCAACGCTCCCATGAGAAGCAGTCTCAATGCTGCTCAATTATCAATGTTGAGAGAGGGATTGATTTCACCTGAATCATAAAAGAGCAAATACAGTTAATACACAGATTATTGATAACTATTGTATATTAATTTCTTATTTTTTTACATGAAAAATCATAAAGTAATTAAACTTCGAACATCCTGATTATCATTGCACAAAGTGAAAAGAAACTTCGAACCTTTAAAATTGCTAATTAAAAAAAAAATATGAAGCTTTCTAAATTGACCTTTATGATTATTTTAAATATTCAGTGCCAATTGTTCCAATAGGACTCAGACTGCCAAATAAAAATATTTTTCTATGGAATAAAATATGTAATAGCATTTTGGTATGCAACATGTATGAACCATAGAATGTCGTTCATATTTTTCTGCACTGCCCTCTCTATGCTAATTTTAAAGAAAACTTAATTTGTTAATACTTCTTTTAAGATCAACCGATGAACTTAGATTAATGTCTCTCTTAGATATTATCACTGTTAATTGAGCAAATGATACATTTTCTTTTTTATTAATGTCTTAAGTGTAAAGTCTTTATATTGAGTGAATAATTGTTTAATTTTGTAATATATTTGTTTAAGTCTGTTAAGACTATGTAGTACCTTTTTACGTAGAATTTTAATGTATTTATAGAAGATTGTTCGTAAATTTGCTTATTAAGGGCAAAATATTGCTGTAAATGAAAAAATGCGCATGTTGGGATGATGGTTTAGTTGGTGAGCGGAGGTTCAGATGGAGTTAAACACAGGGCAGGATCGCCCCTCCTCAATCCTCAGGGCTCACTGGCACTGAGCCACTGACTCATTCACTCTACCACTGACATTAGTGGATACGTTCGATAAGTCGCTCCGATGACAATTTCTCAGCAGAGATAATAAAGATGGCCAGTTAGAAAGTGACATGCAGCATAGGTCGATCTCAGTGGAGAGCTTTTCCGCCGATGGGAAAACTACGCCCGTGACACCATCGTACAGACTCGTTGATCGATAGGGAAACGACCTTTTATACTACAAAGGGCACGGTTTTGTTAAAAAAAGAGAAAATTTGGAAAAAAAAACCTTTTCCTACTTCGACATATCCATGTGTATGACCAGTCGGCGTAATATAAAGGAAAATGTCTCTTCAGCTGAGTTCCTTCCACCAGCCTACAGTCCTGGAGCAGCTTCTGGAGGAAATAAATTTTCAAAGGATGAAAGAAATGAGACAACTGATGAAAGATGGTGAGTCATCAGCCTTTCCAAGAAACTTGTTTTATTTTTATTTGTTTTCGTTTGTATGTTTATTTTACTTATTGATTTTGAATAATTTTCTATATTTTAAATATTTCTATTATATATTGCAATTTATTTACTGAAAGAAATTTCCTTGGAAACATTGCATCATTCCAAAAGAAATATCCTCTCAATAACTCAAATCCAGCCAATTCTGTAATTTAAATAATTTTATTGAATTAATCCAATTTACAAAAAAAATTTTAAATATAGAAATATGCAATATAAAAAATATAACATAAAAGCAAAACTAAGAAAAAAGAAAAAATTACTTAAGTATTAAACAATACGTAAAGTAAGAAAATAGCTTAAAAGAATGTTTCCTATAAAACATACATAAAAAACCACATTTATCATTGTTATTTTATATGTTTAAATTGTCTTTGTAAAATAATACAACATATTTTAAAATATGATATAAATAATATTAGAAAACAATAACATAAAAATATGTTGATTAAGCAAGTAAAAATAAGAGTATTTTGTGCATATTTAGTTGAATTATATTTAATAAAAAAATTCATTAGTAATAATAGAAAGTTAAGTATACAAATATATACATATATATACATAATAGTACAGAAATGCAGGTTAAATAATTTATATGAAAAATATTTTATTGTTATAGAAATAATGAAAAATAATTTAACTTAAAATATACATAATAATTCAAGATTTAACATATCTGCTTGACTTGACTGTAGAATAAAAAAAAAAAGAAAAATTAAAAAAATAAGATTTGGAAAGTTATTGGCTGAATGTATCATTCTGTCAATATAGGAATATTTTTACTATAGTTAGTAGAATGGTAGGAAAAAAAAAATATATATATATTAAAAAAATAGTGAAATACAGTTGACTTAATTATTCGAAACCGAAGGGACCACAAAAATAATTCTATGTATCAAAATGTTCGAATTTTCAGTAAGAAAGGTAAAAATTATGAAGAGTTGATAGGAATTTTCACCAGTTACTTACATTTGTACATATATAACTGTAAAAATAATGCAAATATGGAAATTGATCAACTGTAAAATTGAACATTGTTATGCATTATTAAAAAATTGGTTAAAAGGGTTGTTTCAATGTAGTCTGGCGTACTTTGCCTGAATGATTTTCCAAAGTGACAAGTGCTGAGAAAACATAACAATCTAGAGATAAATAAAAACACTTTAGGCTGTAATGAAGTAACCGATATGAGAAATTTTAGAGGAATATAACAAATAAAAAGATAACAATATCTACATATAACATCGATGAAGCATTTTCTTGATCATGATGGTGATTGATCAGCCTTCTCAGTTTAAATATATTTTTTTCTTTCCAAAAGGTAGATCGGCCTGGCCTCATCCCTGATCTACCTTTTGGAAAGAAAAAAATATGTACAAATAAAAAGTTCGATTCATAAAGTGTCTCAATTTTGATTTATAGTATGTTCTTTTCCCCCAGTTACAAAACATATTTTGTATTACCGACTGTATCAAAATACCAAGATTTTTTATTTTATTTACCAAAGTGACGTGCTGAGGAGTTCGTATTAACAATAAATTTGAATTATCAAGTTTCGAATGAACAAGAGTTGACTTATAAGACAATTTAATGTATAAACAAAGTAAAGTATATGTTTATTAAGATCAATTATTCAGAAATCATGAGATGCGGTCTGGTGTGATAGGCTTCAGAAAAACATTTTCTTTATCGTGGCAACATTTCGATCGTTATTGAGATCATCTTCAGGGCCTGGGATTTACAAATTTAACAAATACATTTAGGATGTGGAAAAGTGAATTTATACAACGCAAAATATAGTTTTTTTAATATTCAATAAAAGTATTTCTACTCACCACACTTTATTAAGATTGTTAATAATTCAATTACAATTATTTAATGCCCTAATGCACTGATTATAAAGAAATGCTTGTGAATTCATATTAATCATGCACTTAAAATTTGTGCTGAATCGGCAATGTGGGTCACTTATTAGGTCTGTCTTCACTCATGGGTTGGTTGTTGAACTACTCAAACACATTGTGCTATCGCATCATGAAGGTGGTGTAATGTCGAAACGCATTTCAGAGGTTCCAACAATACTGGTGAGTCCTAGTTCATCAAGGAATTTAATTAGTAAGCCTAGTTTCAGTGGTTGAATTTTTTTCTATAGCTGCTTTGTACAGGTGAGTTGGTGCTTCCTTGCAATATCTGCATGTATTGTAATGGATTATACCAAATGCTCAAATGCCCCTTCAGTTTGCAGTGTCCTTAAGAAAACTGTTGGGATTTGAAGTTTTTTAGTGCTTATTTTGAAACATTCTATGGTTTTTTTCCTTCTGAAACTGACTAAGAGTTTCTTGGATTGTCTTTGTCCAATGAGTGAATTCCACTTTTCATACTGTCTTTTGTCTAATATACTCATTGATAGTGTGAATCTCTTACTACAAAAGTGCTCAGGCCCAACCAACGGTGTAAACGCCCCATTCATTGCAAAGGCATTTTGCTTCTTTGTTTCCTCTTCATCTGTGTTTTCTGGGATTCAGCGGAGAGCAACTTTATTTTGCATACCTAATTTATTTAGGGAATTCAGCTAAATTTTTGAGGTAATAATGTTTGAGCTTAATACTCTGATGTCTGGTATCTGATATCTGAAGGCTATGTTCTTGTTTTTTGTTCGATTTAAACTGAGTTATCTCTCAATTTACATGATCTCCAGCCTGAAAGAACTTTCCCATGGGTTCTGATTATTTGGTACAACCCTGTACCTTGTTTTATTCTAATGCAACTGTACCAGCAGGTGGTGATGTTCTCAACAGAGGGGTTCTTTTTTGGTACCTAGGTATATATGGAAATTTTGTTTGGATTCAAACATCCTGTTCATATCGTCCCTGGGGGCCATGAGTATCAGATTTTACCTCATTAGGTCTTATTATCTTTCTATTTAAGTTTTAGTCCTGTTGGAGGCTTTTCTTTAGTGTTATGATAATGGTTTTTGTGCTGGCCTCATTATCGTACAGTTAGGAGGATTAGATTGGTCACAATATTTTATGTATTCCAGCTATCTGACATGCTGTTGTGCCAGGCCTTTCAAATAACCCTTCTATTTACTCAACTGAAGAGTTCAGGGGTTAAATATTTGTACCAACAAGAAACTCCAAATTACAAACTAATTTTGAATAATGCACTTGAGAAACCTACTAATTTTTTTTTTAAATTTCATTGTGGGGTCTGCAGGGTGATGAACCTGTTGTTTGATTGTTTCTGATGATTGTAGTCTGCCCATCCTTGCGATTTGGTTTGTTACACATTTGGACTTAGCGCACCATGTTAAGTGATGGGTCTGTATACACACTTAAGACCAAAACAGCAAAGATAGGCAAACTAAAATAATCAGAAATCACCAAACGTGCCAAGCATACATGATTTATATTAGGCATGTTTTAAGTCTAATTTGTCTATTTAAATTATTAGGAAAACATTTCCATACATAAACCAAAAACTATATAAATAAATTATAATTTATACATATATATAAGTTATCGGATATTATCAGATTGCAATGCTAAGATGCAGGTGGCATTCTCAGAATTGCAATCAGCACTCTCTCCCACCAGGGAAACGTAATTGTTTATAATTTAAAATGTAAGAACATTCCTTGCCTAGAAACCAGTGAAGTCACATCATTGTAATTGGTAAACTTAATTATTCTTTGTCAACTGTATTTCGCAAATAAAGTTTTTAAAAAGGAATCAACCAGCGAAGTTGACTTAATTTATATATATGCAGATAGACCCTCCATGCCATAATTTTACTTTAAATTATATATTATGTAATGTTTATAACTTTTCTTTTTTGCAATAAAGTATTATTATTATTAATACTACTAACATAATAATCATATGTTATTTATACTATAAATATGTTACTATTATAACTAATATTGAACCGGCATACGGGCACTACTGGGTCTGTCTTCACTCGCGGGTTTTTTTGTTTGAGTTATTCAAACACGTTTGAATAACTCAAACAAAAAACCCGCGAGTGAAGATAGACCCAGTAGTGCCTGTGTGCCGGTTCAACATGAGTTCACCAACTTGCAGACCAAACCCCATCATCTACTATTATAACTAATAACTAATAATATGTTATTATTATATACTAACATAAACCATAAAATATGTAAATTTGTATGAACTTCGTTAATTGCGGGCTTTTCTATATATCACTCTTTGCTCATTCTTGATCAAAATTATTCGTTTTTAAGATTTAAATTGAGCATTAGCAGATCGGTGTTTGGCCAATGAATTGTTAATTTACGGTGTAAACCAAGATTTATTTATTATAAGTTATGTCACATATATTCAATTATAATGATTTTTTAAAATAATTTGATGCTTGAATGGGTATTAAATTTAACTGAAAGCTTGTAGTTCCATATTAATTATAAATACATTTTTGAAGGACGAATTAAATAAAGAAAAGTTGATAAAAGAGTGAGTCATCAGTTTTTCTGACTAACTCATTTGCATTTGTCTACACATTTATTTTCCTTAGTGACTTTGTTTGGTCTTATGCATTTTTTAAAAATATTTTTATTACCATTTGTTTACCTATTAGTAATTTCCTAAGTATAATATTAATAATAAAACCAAAATTTACCAAATATTAAAAATATATCCAGAATATAATCAAACTAACATGAATATAAACAATTTTCAATATTTAAATATTTGATTTATTATATAAACCCATGATTTGATGCTTTAATTTGTACTTAATTTAACTGAATACTTGTGATTTCACATCAATCATACTCATATTTCTTTTGCATTTCTATACACATATTTCAACGTAATTTGTACTAATATATGTATTTAGTGGTCATAATTGCCTGTATTAATTATTTTAATTTGTGTACATGTATTACTGCTCTGAAGATCGGCTTGCAAAAATGATGCCAAAGTAGTGTTATTTCAAGTTTATTACTTTTAAAGTTGAGTCTTTATGCCTTGATTTGAGTATGTTACTGAGTATGGTGAAATGCTGGTCTGTTAGAAAAGCTCATTCATGACTTATGTAATTAACATTCATAAACAATAACAATTTTTTTAAAATTAGAACTAAATATTGATAATCCACTGTTTTTGAGAATAATATTTTTTTAAATTTCATTTGACTTTTATGGACTGAATGTTTGTTGTTTTAACATTGTTAATTGATTTACCAGAACTAACTCATTTTTAACTGTTCAATAATAATAATAATTGATGGTTTAATATAGAATAAATATAACTAAGACTGTGAAATCACTTTTTTTATTATTTTTATTGGCCTTATTTTTGAACATTAGCCAGAGAGTGTTGAATTAATTGTATTTTTGGGAGAAGAGGTATGAAAAAACCAGGGGACATTAAGAATTGAACTCATGACTGTGAATCTTTGAACTGAACCACTTGGTTACCGCGGTCCGCTAATCATACTCTTAACAGTATAATTTTTCATGTATTTTTATATAATTCTACTTAATTTATGCTATTTTAGTTTAATATTGGTTTGAACAATACACAGGCAAAAAGTGTTCGATATTAGTTTATTACTTTTTGTATTGCACTTTAACCTTCTCTAATCATATCCTTGATTAGCAAGTTATTTCGACATTGAGGTGGTGAAATGCAGTGATTGTACTGTATGCAGAATTTACAATTTTTGATAATAAGAAATTTTCCTAGTATAAAATATCCAACATTCCCTAAATAATATTAATACAGCCAATTTTTAATATTTAAATATTGAATTATTAGTCAATTTAATATTTAAAACCAAAACTGTTACATATTTAAAGTTTTTGTCTAATGTCAAGGTCAACAACACAAAGAACATTTTGGAAAAAGCTAAATCAACAAGATAATGATTTTTCTCAACTCCTTTCTCTTATCAGGCTGGGAGAAATTACGATGCCATATTTTAAATAGGGAAGCTAAGAACTGAATAGAGCCTGAAGTATGCCCTATATGCAGTTATGTTGGCGAGGAAAATCTGAGTTTTATGTCAAAATGTACTATTTGGTTTAAATTTGTTTTTTCCTGCCTATATATGTGGTTTGCAAGTGCTTATTTTTATGTACAAAAACTTAAAATCAACTTGTGAAAAAATATTGATTCTTTTTGTATTTCATACAGTATACAGATGAAAAAAAGGGGACTGGGGTGGCCGAGACGTATTAGCTAACGTTTCTGGGTTTGAATCCTGTCATAGGCCATGGAATTTTAATCAAAAATAATGTGTCAAAAGTATTGTAAAGTAGTTTGACCCCTAGGTTTGTTAAAAGCAACAGTAAAAAAGTACTTTATAAATAAAAATATGAAAAAGTATACTTTGCACATCGATGATTTGTCAAGTCATTGTCTTAGCCAGTAAGGGCCTAAATCCCCATTTCCAATCTCACTTTGCTTGCAATTTAAATAGCAATTTAACTTTTACTAAACAAGAGGTCACTTATAATAATAATAATATAAATCTTTATCTGGCTGATGTCGACACATTCACAACCAAATAATACCTTATAAACGATTTTATTACTTCGTTTTACACCTGAAATAAAACTTTATCTATGTTATTACTTATTCATTACTTCCATTTTTTATCTGCTGTACTCATTGCAGAGTTCCTGTTTATACAGTATTATTAAGTCCTTCATTTAACACTTTTCCAGTAATGACACACTATGAAATAACTGAAAGTAAAACAGCCAAATTTCAGTTTGATTTTGATTATTGTTTAATTCCAAATGTCTGTTTCTTGTATTAATTTAATTACAGTGATGAAACTCAAATAAGTTAGATTAAGAAACAGCTATTATTAGAACACTCAAGGCATTATGTGCATTTTGTTTAACTTTTACAGAAAACTTATTTACTTCTATTCTATCCATTGCAGTATAAAATAAAAGTAATATTTGTTAATTGTTTTTACAAATTTTTGTTACCACTGCATTATAAATAATTAATCTTAACTTTTCTGGAGCTTACATCAAAAATTATTGCCTTAGAAATACAACCCTTTCCTCAGACAAAAAAAAATCAAATGTCATTTTTTATTTCAGAGTCGGGATTTGTTATGCTTCAAGGATCATCATATTGGACGGATTTATTTATCAGGCATTTCCTATTCCAAGCAGAGCAATCTATCGATGGCGATGATATGTTATTTTTTGTTAGAAAAAAACACGTTAAAGGAACACCAAGATATCTTCCAAAATTTGAAGTAATTGTCATTAGAGTTCATGATGGAAAAAGGTGAAAATTTAATTTTTTAAATTCATTGTTAATTTTTTGCATAGACCGAAGTAGCTGTGTATCGAAAAGAAAGTAAAAAACTTCCAATCGGTGACCCAGAGCTTGATTGGGAAGAGACAGTCTACCTTAATTTAATCATACATCAGTTTGAATATATTTTAACTTTAGCCATATGCACCAGGACATCTCCAAAACAGCTTCAAATTTTAAGAAGAATATCACAAGTAAATCTGTTTCATTTGCAATTGAATTAAAATTTTTATTTATTCAGAAACTTTCTTTTTTAGAAAGTTTACGCATCGCCCTCCAGACGGAGGATGGATACAAAAGGAGAGGTTGAAGAGATAACTTATCCCCAAATTTGTTTTATGGTGGATAATTTTAACGAGGTAGTCAATTTTTAAATATTTAAACATTTATAGTGGCCACATTTTTTTCACTTTTTATCAATTTTAGGTCATGTCGGAGATGTTGGTGAGAGACGGCGAGCTCGTATGCGTAGAATTATTAGCATCAGATCGTGAAAATAAAATCCAAGGGGTGCTGTTTTCTGGTTCGATACGTTATGATGCACTGAAACGAGTATACGATGCGAGGGTAATTGAGATTCTTGTTTTCTTATTTAACAAAAAAATGATCCTCTCCTCCTTTCGATAGGCTAGCCTTAGCAGTAAAATGGCACAAAGGATGACTTTTGGCTTGCTGTCAAATAGTGCTCAAAGAGTAGAGTTCGTCACGATGAAAGGTCCCCAGGGCAAAGGCTACGCTGAGATGGCAGTCACTAAGCCAAGAGGTATTGCATTAAATAATTATCATAGTAGGAAATTTCAAGTGCCAAAATTTTAAATCACTGACGTGGTTCAATAATTACAAATAAAACGTTAATTTATTAATTTTCTTTGAAGTACATATATACAATATTGTAATGTACTCAATGGGTACAGGCTGCGGAGCAGAAACACCAACATCAGAGCCTGGCTACTGCGCGATTGACATGTGGGATGAAGACTGGGAAGACCCTGAAGATATGTTTTTATACCGACATCAGGTAGTAAGATAATTTCCATTATCTCCTCAACAGATTGTCAAGCTTTGCTTTATTTTAGAGGAGGCTGAGCGACCCGAGTGCAAACCTTAGTGTGTTTGTCCGAGGAGGTTGGCAGAAAAAGCCCAACTCGGAGAGTGCCAGGGCAAGAAGCGAAAATGAGGGCTTGGACACCATGGCGCAGTCGACTACACATATACAAGCCGGTGATCTAAGAGATGGTAAGTCTCTTAAATAAAATATTCCTAAACATTTTGCACAGTATAGTCTTGCAATTTTACTCCTTTGGAGTAAAAAAATAAATATTAGTTTTTTAATTTATATAGAGCATTTTGCTTTTATTTATTTCCATTTTATTATTATAAAGTTATTTATTTCTATTTTTTGCAAGCATTTTGTTTTCTTTCTTTTTCTTGCATGGCAAGCATTAGTTAATGTATTCTTTTATTTCATTTTCATATGTGTCTTATATTTCATTCTTCTATTTCTTTTTAGTTTTTTATTTAAAAAATAGTATCTGAAGCATAATTTTATTTTGAAACTTTAACTTATTATACTTGGGATTAAATTAAAATTAATGTTTTAAGTTTAACATTCTCAATAAAAATAATAACAACATAAAAATAATTTAAAACTTAGTTTAAATAATAACAAACTTACCATTGCTTGTTGACACATATAGTTGCCCCAGGTGGAAATCTTTTGTTAATTTGTCTAATTGAAAAAAATAAAAAATAAAAAAATACTGTTTATAAATAGCAGATTTTTAAGATTTTAAGAAAATTTTCTGTAAGGGAAAAATAATTTCACTTTTATTAAGACATTTTCATGTCCGAAGCTAAAAGGTCAAAAACTCAAAGATAGTCTATAAAATATTTAAGTTTTTTTTAAGTGACATGACAAACTGCCATATCTGAGAGACAAACCCAGCGAGGGTAGGTAGAAAAAATGATTGGTATTGACCAAATTGCAGAAAGATATTTTTTTGAGATTTATAAATAAACAACTTATAGATCTGAGGAAATCCTCTATTTGAATAAAATCCTTCCTATGTAAGTTCTATTGTAGTTACTAGTAGTATTGACAAAGTTCCCCATGAGGGAAATCAAATAATCCTATTAATTTTAATTTGTTTTGTGTTTCACTAGCCTGCACTACACTGTTTAATAAGTTGCAATCTTTGTAACATCCATATAAATTATTGTGAGACGATATTGGTTATAATAGCAAAGCTGTATGCAGCATAATTCATGTCAAAAATAAAAGAAACATTTTATACTCTAGTTATTAAAAAAAAAATTTCCCCTGGAGACAACCTTTGAGCCAATAAATATTAATGTTGTATATTATTGTAAGAAGTATTCTGATTTACATTACAAATTGCCTATGATAATCAAGCGACTGATGTAATTTTCAGTAAGTCATGATCACTTTGTACACTTGCCTAAATGTCATGTATGTTGTGGCCGCCTTGAGGCTTTACGTTTTGTATTCCGCTTTTTGTTTTTTGTAGACACTTGCATGCACCCTAAAGAAAGACTGGAATATTTGAAAAAGGCGTGGAGTAAAGAAATTCCGGTTTTTAAACCAAAAACTAAAACCGTCGCAGATGGGACCGTGATCACCTATTGGTGTGAGTTGCGTGAAATGAGAAAAGCTATTCAAAGTGGTACGTAATGAAGCGCCACATTTGTTTGTAGACGTTAGTTTACAGAATTGCATGTCATTTATTTTTTATAACTCTTAGTCTCATAGCAACCATTCCTCCGTACAAGTTACTTAAGCACCTCATACCCATGGAAGTTGATGAAATTTGATAAAAGTTTTCTGATATTTATTTTTGTTTATAACAGAACTTGATGACGGGGCCATAAATCCCTTGTGGACAATGAGGGGTTTTACTCAGACTTTCCACATGTGGAAAGAGAATAAAAGAATCCAAAGCGTTCCTTTAAATTCGTTTCTTACCTACATCACTTTGCCTTGGTGGAGCATCACCAAAGGTAAATACATTCAAACCAGCTTCATTTTTATAATCATTGCAGATTTTTGAGTGTTTTTATTTGTTTTTACAGATATTTTAGACATGAGGGTTGAACCTATTCTAACTTTTTGATTGTCAATTGGTATTCTAAAATTGTCATTTGTCAATATTTGTACCTGTACAATTTTGTAATTTTGAAAATTGTTGTATATTTACTGATAATGCTATTATGTAAATATTGTTATAATAAATGTGATCTATTATACTTTGTTGTTTGTGTCATTTCTATCCTTAATCTTATAACTATTCAAAGGGTTGGTATCTATTGTTGACAATATGAATTAAACATACATAAACATTATTCAATAACCTTGCGCAGTGGCAATATCGTAATCAATGAAGTTCTACTGAGATGCGATTATTGCTAGTTGAAACTATTGTCCAATAAAAAATTACAATAAAAAAAACTAGCCCCTAAGGCAATAAGTCGATCAAAAGCTCACACAAAAAGGAAGAAACTGTGGAAATGACCCTTTCAAGCAAAAGAGATGATGGCCCTTGAGGAAACGGATCAAAAGAACATCGTAAGGGGCCAAACATATTAAGCTTTCACCCACTTTAATAAACTGAAATTCCAACAAGAGGGCCCCTCTGGACTTGCAAATAATCAGTCAAGGGATTCTATTTTGATTAAAAGCTGCTTTAGAATTTCTGTTAAAATTGAATATTTCAATGTGTATAAATAATTAAAATTAAATTATATTCTTCCTAATGATTATACAGTAACTGAGGTGTATAATTTTAACATTTCAGAAACATGTTATACTGAAAGAAGTTATTTATACTTTCTATAATGTCTATATTGGAGTAAAGTCATTAATTATTATTAATGGAAATTAGACTTTTCACAGCTTAATCTCCACTGTCCGGCTCTTAAATGTTAGGCTCGAGTTATTGACAGACAACTAGGCCATTTTGGTCCCTGATGCATGCAAGTAATAAACTACTTCATTCCTATAAAGTTTTTGTTATTTATTTATTGTTTTATTGAAGGTTATTGAATATATACTGCAGCATGGAATTTTGTTTCTTTTAACAAAACCTTTTAGACCTCTTGACGTACTCATTAATTTACAGTTATCTGTTCTGTTGACTGATGTCATAAGGTTGAAAAAATTTTGTTAAAATTAATCCATATTTGCCTTAGTGGACATAGTTGACTGTTAAATTATTCCAATTAATTATTCCTTTTAGCTAAGGTTTTTGGTTGAGATGAAAAATTAGTGTCACAAGAGGGATTCAAACCCACGACCTTCGCTCAATACACTGCTGCTCTAACCACTTGAGATATCGTGACTTTGATCCCCTCAGACACCAATTATTCATCTCAACCTACAACCGTTCGAATTTTCCCTCTTTTTGGCCATTTTTCAAATGTCGTGTAATCAGGATTTATTGTTAAAAAATAAAATTGCAAGGTGTGATATATGCATCCCGTGCAGAATGTTTCACTTTTCCTCAGAGCTTATGGTAAATGTTATAAGAACGTAGATATTACTTTAAATCTAGATACCAATTTATTATAGTTCAGTTGCTAATTCCTTAAATTGAACTCACCAGTTACCGAGATTACCAATAATAAAGAAGAAGGTAATCTTGCTAACTTGTGAGTTCAATTTAGTTAAATAGTGAGCTCTGAAGAGGGATCAGGGATGTGGCCTGAAATGCATTAGCTACTGAAATATATTGCATAAAAATAAATGGTTTAGTTTAAACAAAAATTCAGATTTAAAATATTTTTACCACCAAATTAAGTTAAAATTATTTATAAAAATAATTTGAATTATCTAAAACTTATCATAAGTTAAAGTAGACTACTGTCCTTTATACTCACAAAAGTGCTAAATCAGGAAGCAGGTTCGATAGGTTGGTCATTTATTTCATCTTTTGACTTGGATCAAGCTGTTAATATTGTTTATTCTATGCTATCGAATTTGGTTGAAAAGCATATTCCTAAATCTATCTTCTATTTATCTCAATATATAAAAGTGAATGTTCGTATGTGTGTTAACGATAAAGACGAGAACTACTGAACCGATTTCGATGAAACTTTCATACCTTGTTTTTATTAGTGCTGAGCGGGTTTAGAGAATTAAAATGTATAAAACATGTAAATAGTAGGCATCAGTATTTACCAAAAAGAGAGATTTCAAGAATTTGTGGCGGCCTTTTTCTCAGCTGTCAGGCCTTCAGCTACCGAGTCCTGGTATGATACATTTTTCGAATTCCAATTTCAAGGCGCTAACACTCAATTTTTGCCTATAAAAAAAGGCATGTATTTATTACAAATAGGGGACATCAGGTTTTTTACAAAGTAATACCATTTTACAATATGAATTCGAAGATAAGATTTTTACATGATATATAGTTTACAAAGCATGAATGACAATGGTCATGGCCTTCTTGATTTTTCTATAATTACAGCGTTCCCGCGACACAAAAAAACTACGCTAATACTCTACAGTCGCAAACATTACTGAATTGGTTATAGTTACAAAATTACTGATACATTATAGTCGTGAAAATTGCAGAATAGTTTTGCTGTAGTAAAAATAGGAAGATACAAACTTCACCGTATCTTTACTATAGGCACCAGTGGTGCAGGAAGGAGAACGAACTACCAGTATGTAGTCTGACCGCGAAACCATCAGAATTGAGAAAATTGCTCCAAGTGAACATTTATTTAGTGTACAAAGATAAAGAAAAACCGATTTTGTTTTACAGGTATGTACATTACATGAACAATTATAAATTATGTAAAATATTAATACACATGTTTTACCGAATTCAGTTAGTTTAAACAAAATGGTTAGGAATGGTTAGGGCCAATTATGACTGTAATCATATATGGATTAATATAATAATTAAAGAAGTAATTACTTCGCTAACAACTCCCTGTGGCATTTCATAAGTCGCTGAGAATCGAATCCTGATTACACGATGTGGCAAAAGAGGGAAAATTCGAAAGGTTGTAGGTTAAGATGAGGAGTTTATTAACCTAACAATGTACAAGGAATTCATTTTTAATTTCCTTGAGAATGGTAATCAAGTTGAGCAGTTTACAGGGATATTGCTAAAGCGTTCAATATGGTTGACCTTGGATTGCTTTTGGGTAAGCTTGAACAATTTTGACAGTTTCTTGGCTTGGATCTTTCTGATAGATTAAGATAAAGTTTAGAGGTAGATTTTCTGGAACCATTAGAAACACATAAGGCCTCCCCCAAGGATATCACTTCAGTTCAGTTTGTTTTCAATTATGCCAATTAATTTTTTTTTTAATTTAAGGTTTTTTGTTTTGATGAAAAATTATTGTCACAAGCAGGATTTGAACCTATGACTTTCGGCTCAATTTGCCGCTGCTCTAACCACTTGAGCTATCGTGACTTTGTTTTGAGAAGCCACAATAGCTTAAGTGGTTAGAGCACCGGTGTATTGAGTCAAAGTTCATGGGTTCGTATCTCGCTCGTGAACTAATTTTTCGTCTCGACCAAAAAAACTTTAGATAAAAAGAATAATTAATTGGAATAATTAATATGGCCAATTATGAATACTAAGCAAGTACGGATTAATTTGTTCTTAATGTTCATCAACAATGTGTCCTCCTGTTTCAAAGATTCAATATTTTTATTATTGGCAATAAATATAAAAGTTGCCATTATCCATAATGTTGAGAGAAAGGTGTGACTGCAGGAGGATTTAATATTGTATGTTTGCCTCTTGGTATCTGGGGAATGAACTTTCTCTTAATCTTGCAAATGTAAATTTATCTCTTTTTATAGGAAGAAACATCTCTCACTCCTATTCTTAACTGGGATCTCAATTGAATGGAGTATCTGAGATTGGTGACTTGGTAGTAACTTTTGACTCTGTATGTTCATTTTCTACACATATTAATTTAGTTCTGGCCAAGCGTAATTTAAGCTTGGGGTTCATCAAGAGGAATACATCAGGTTTTCAAAATTTTATATTAAAACATCTATATTTTCGGTTGTTTCAGAGCATACTTGAATACTGTATCTTCGTTTGGTTTCCTTGGGGCATTCAATCTAAGATTAATCTACGTGAACATGATCAGAGGAAATTTATTAAACACCCAATTTACAAGTTAGGATACATCAGGGTATTTACAAGAATGTCGAATGGTTGAAACTTTGGAAAATGTCCTCCCTTCAGGATCGCTCTCTGTTAATGGGGATGCGTTTCTTGTGGAAGGTGATAAAAGGCCGTTACCCCTGTCCACAACTTCTCATTGGATAAATCTTCATGTCCCTACTGACAATTGTCGTCAGCAACTCAGTTTTTACACCCAGTTTCACAGAACTAATTACGAGAAATTTGTTACAATGACATCCTCAAAATGCGTATCATGAAATCTGTAATGAGCATAGTTGGGATATGTTTAGATCCACTTGTAATGTATTCAAAATGCTTGTCCACATGATTACAATTAGTTTATTAATTTTTTATTCTGAAAATTATTTGTATTTCTTAATTTTAAATATTTTAATATGACTACTGATTACCGGGTCATCCCCTGTATTGTACTAATGTATATAAATATATTTTCAATAACCTACAACACAAATAATAAAGTCTTAAAAATAAACAGCAAAAAATTTAATAATAATTATTAAAATATATAAAATTTAAAACTGCCATAAATGAGGGTAGATGGAGTGCATATAATATTCTATGTTCAGCCATCTCAAACTACATTCAACTTTTTCTCTCATCTAACCATTCAAACGAAGGGTATATGTACAATGAAATCCCCTTATTAACAAAATCTTATTGCTGTCCCTAAGAAAAATTTGTGATCACCATGTCTAGCCTATTTAGAGGCAAATCTAGTTATCTCCGTACACCATTTTTATTATTAGTACTGCATTACTACCTTTCATCGGTGTATCGATAGGATGGCATGGAGGATAGTTAGACCAAAATGTTCGTTAACGGCCAAATTACAGGTTCATCACCTCACTTTCAACACAGAGAAATCTCACATCTTACTTTTAAGCTATAGGGTTCTGAATCGACTTTAAAAATGGTTGATTTAGATAATAACTCAAATTGTTAATTTGGTCCTTTCCTACCATTTTGGCTTAACCAAGCTGTTTTGGTCTGTCAGACACTTTTGGTATGTGAATTTTTTTTGCCATCCTTGTCCTCACAATTAGGTCACAAAGAGAGCAAAGTTTATTTTTTATAAGGGAAGAATCAATTTTGTCACAAATACTTTGTAAAAGTTGGTACATGGCAGGTGTCTGTACTGGCAAATGGCATGTTTTTAGTAGTTTTAGTTTAGGGTTGTTGATACTGATGGTAATGTGGACACTAAAAAATGAAGTTGGTACTGTATGGACCCATTCTGAACATCGTATGTTTGATCTAGTTTTCCCAATTATGTATACGTTCTGGGCAAGCACAATAGTCCAATTATTGGGGGCACCGGTGACCTTAATCATTAAGGCATTGACACAGCACTCGTCATTGTAATGTTTTAAATCCTGGGTTCAAATCCAGTGGCTCTGAAAAAAGGACCAATACTGGTCGCGGTTCACAGGTCGTAAATTGCTTCTTTGGGCAGTTTTCCTGCTTGTTCATTACAAAAAATTCCTTTCTGACCTGGCAACCATGATATTGTTAGGTTGTCATGTTTTCCCAGATTTTGAATGTGTTCAACGACTATTTTGAACTTGACCTGATGCTTGGCTTAATGAGATCATATGAGGATTTTATTTGTCAGTATAACCTCTTTCAAGATTTTCTATGGCACAAGCCTGTATATAATTGTAATTGATAGCATGTATTTCATCTTGAAAAACCGAGGTGTACTTTCTTAATGATGTTGATGGCTCATATTTTGGGATTGTGTAGCATATACCTGACCCAGTTCCTCCACTGGTTTTGGAGCCATTTGTGTACCATACATATTGTATATGATTTCCTCTTTCACTTTGTAGTCAGTTGAAATTATAGGATGTTTCCATGATCATATAGTGAGTCCCCATTTCCAGGAATGGAAGTTGGTTTTTGTTGGTGTTTGTAAGGCTGTGTTGGGGCTGTTGCCTTTTGCCAATCTTTGCAGATGCTTAGTTTTTGGGAAGCTTGTTTTTGTTGATCTTTGGTCCTCCAGATAAATGACCTATACGATATCTTCTATTGCATCTATTTTATGGCGTTTTAAGCCATATTTTGGACAGTGAAATCAATAGATATTTCATTAAAGAAGGACAGAAAATAAGAAATTGCTCCAATCGTATAATTAAAAATGAATGTATTACAAATTGTTTTCTACCCCCCTCCAGCGTATCTATAGCAGTTTTATCTCAATACGGATGTAAGCTAAATTATGACAATGCACTTAATCGGAGCCAAAAGCAGGAGCTGAACATAAAGCATCATAAATTATTAGGATCTTGTGACAAAGAGGAAAATTAATGTTACTGTCTAAAGGAAAAACCTATTAGTATATATACAATATTTCGCAAAAGAGAATTTCATGTCATTTTAATGATCAGAAAAATTAAAATGGCAGGAAAGAAAATGAGGATATTACAAGTATAGACGTTTAGAACTATAGACCAGAATTTCTTCATGCATTTTTATTGTTTCATTATGTATTTCGAATATTAGGAGTGGGTCAGAAAGGGGGGATGTGAAAAGGGTCTCGTGATATTGCGGTGTCGTCATTGTTAATCTTTCCTTATGAATCCGACAAATCAATTCTGCCATAACTACCCCAATTTGAAAGAATTCTTTACAGAGGGGGCGGCGGGGTCCTCAACAACCCCTATGAACTCATAAGGGTGATGAAACAAATCGGCCAGCCATCCCATTAAACTCAGGGGTCAACATTGTAAATCGATTCCAATAACGCCTATGCAGTATACGTCAACATTGTCAATTAAGTCGGTGTTTGTTAATTTGCAGATTAACCATTATAAGGGCTCGAAGATTAAAAAAAAATCTCTGGGCCACCCAAATAGGCTTATTTAAAATTAACCTAAATACGGAGCAAGGTTGGATAGATAAAAGGATTTTAGATAACTTTGGCCGTGGAATTCTGTAATTTGTAACTGAATTTTTGACTAGTTATGTCAGAAGCGTTTCGAAATTTCGCCACCTTCAGTGTATTTGTCTTTAAAACCGAGGATGCCCAGTAACGATCAAATTACAGATTCATTACCCCGTAGATCACACAGAGAAAATGTTATTTTTAATAAAGCTGTCGGATTTTGAATCGACTTACATAAATGATCGATTTAGATTAAAGTGCAGTTTTAACTTCTTCGAACAGGATTAGTGAGGATATTAGAGGAAGAATGGCCACGGGAAATAAATGTCTGTGGGAGCTCCAACCTGTGCTGAAAAGTTTCTATCTAGGATAAAGCAAATTGAGAATTTATAAGGCTGTGTTAAGACTAGTTTACGTTCTACGTCTACCTCTCAGAAACCAGAGTGGACGAGCAGTGATTGCAAAGATGGCAAAGAAAATTGTATAAATGAATTTTGTATTTATATTCGAGGTGGCATGGGTAAGGTTTGAATCGCTATCGCCCACCTAGGTTGTAAGGATAGTGTTGGGATGCTCAGATGCTTTCTTCAGGGACGTCGAAGCCGATTGATCTTGCTTATGAGAACTCCCTGCTCCAAGTCCAAGAAATCTTCGTACTTGTCCAAGTTGTTTAGTTCTTGAGTGGGGATTCTCCGTCAGTCTGCTGTCTAGGTTTCTTAGTATTCGACATAACGTATTTAACAGCGTACATGCCGGTAAACTTGCTGTTGACGTTTAGACGAGTTGGCTTGGGTAAGATTTGAGTTAGGAGATAAAATTGCGTTATCGTCTGCAACCCCATAACACTACATATTTCTGTAGGGCTTGCTGATCTTGATCGAAACTGTATTTTCAATCGATATCCTGTTGTCAGAATAGATTAATCATGCACCTGGAACGTACTGTTTTTAAATAGTATATATATTTTTTGAAATAAACATAGGTTGACAGTTAAGAGAAGGAATTACGGGTCAGCCTAATCTCACATCGTCCGCTGGTCGTCTGGATCATCATCTTTTTACTTTGACGTTGTTAGAACTGAAATGTGAAAACGAGAATAATCGGATCAGATATCGGTCAAAATACATTTTTAGAAGCGTTGATTGGATTATTTCAACTCCGGTTATTTCACCGGTGTAGTCAAAAATGCCAAAGCCTTTCTTTTAAACTTTAAAAGATTAAAACAACTTTAAAGATTAAACTTACTGGATTGATTGGATTGGCCCTGGATTTAAGCTTTTAAAGTAATGAAATTGCGTTATTTATGAAGAGTATTTAACGATTTTCCAAATTATGTTTCTTAATACATTTTTACGCCGGTGTTTTACAGGGTTACAGGCGACGTACCTCTTGTTAAAACTTTTACACTTCACCAGGTTTCATTAACTTCCAAGATGACAAACCCAAAACTTAAATTGTTGTTTAGTTGAAGTGGCAAGAGTATCGCGAACTTTGTATGATTGAAGGTTCAAATAAATAATAGTAAAAAGAGTCGAATTTTAATTAAATAACGCAGGCAATAAATGCTCGAGTCTATTTTATTGTGCCATTAGTCCATTTTGAAGTCAAGAAAATATCTCAAGGACTTAATGGTTTCGTAAATTAGTTTCAAAGTATTTCATAAAAAAAGGTGAAAAGTTGGCTAGGAAAGCTTACAGATTCGGACTGATGGTCAATTAAACTATCGTGAAATTCAAAAGAAAAATTATTATTTTTATGAGCTTCATGTGATATCGCTAGGTGCGTTGCACCCGCGATCCGGCCGCCCGGAAGCATTAAATGCCGGCTGAGATCGTTCGAGGAGTTCTTAAATGGCATTTATTATCGCAGAGCTTTCAGAACTACTCGCTGCTATACAGTAATAGCCACATATATTACATTTGCCCTTTTTATCCCGGCGGACCAACCCTGTCGTTACGTAAGCCGTAAAGTATCGCAAAATTGATGGTATACAAATGGCCGGTTTTACCAGGTATGGGGATCAGATCGTTCGTTGACGAGCGTTTTGAAAATATAGATAGATGTTCATAAGAGAGGGGTGCAATGTCTTGCATTCAATCTATCTAAAAACCTTAACTAAAATTTCATTTTTGTATGTTTGATCTTCTTTTTCAAGTTATGATGACATTGTTATTTATATTAGGATCAGCAGTTAACCAAAATCCAAGTCACCCAAAGCAGAGTTCAAAATTGGGGAAGTGATACTTTGCATAATGATCTGGAAGAGTTGAATATCCTAAAATTTTTAGTGGTGATAAAGAAAAACTGTACACTACATCTCTTGAAGATGTAATGCAAAATTACTAACACCAGCAATGCAGACACCCCCCGATCGTCTTCAATCAATAGTTACTGACAATTGTGGTCAATCCAATTCATCATAGGAAAGTGTGTACCTTGGGACGGGTTTTTCTTTTAAGTGACTGTTGTGTTTTTATGATGATAGTAAACTCAAAATATTACTCACTCAAACTTTAATTTTAGCTTAATTTTTTTGTCTTGTTTTGTTCTATACATGACTTAAACCTGGTACAAGTTTGTACTGTTATCTACACTTGAACACTGCACCACTGCACTAAACACTATAGGCAGCACTGCACCCAAAGGAAACGTGTTATAAGTAGAGCCCGGATTTATATGCAATTGCAAACCGAACTTAGTGATCAGATATTTATCTTAATCATAACTCCGTGGTAAAAAAGTTCAATTTTTATTCTTCATATTTTGGCATATGTAATATCCCCAGTGGTCCTGAACTCCAAGCTGTAAGAAAACTCCACTAATCCTTTGTGTTCTGCTCTCTCTCACTCATTTAATTTCCTGGAGAACCAGGAAATTAAATGGGAATTTTTCCCTGTTAGTTTTTCAGTTTGAAAAATAAACTTTTTACTAAGTGAAAGAGCGTCTTATTGTAGTGTCTTATTACTACTGTTAAATTAAGTCTGTCAAAAATGACATCAGACGGATTTGCTCTGATTGGGAGAAAGCATATGGGAAAACGTAGGCGTAAAGGTAGGCTTCACCAAAGATAGGTGGTTGGTAGAGTGGACACCAAATTCATTTCAAGTGCTCTCCGACGACGGAATATCCGTAGAAGACATGAAGAGGCAGAAGCTGCAATTCACTGTAGGAGCTGTAAATAACAAATTTAATATACCAATCGTTATGATCAATCAATTTAAAAATCACTCGGCTATGATTAAAAAACACAAATCATAAATGTAAGGAAATATTAAATTTAAGTGAAAATGGGGCAGAGCATTAGTTTTTACCTAAAACAGAGAGGATTTTGAATCACTAAAGAAGTTCCTAACAGAAACGAAAATTGAGTTTTGCACCTACACACCAAAAAGCGATGTTCCCAAAATGATTTTATGACCATCCACATTTCAACTTACGAAATGAAAGAGGGTCTACTATTCAAAGAAATTAAAGGGACGATAAAGTGGTCCAAATAGAGAAAAAAAAAGACCAAAGTTGAGCAGATAATAAACGTCCGATTTTCGTAGTTTATTTTCAACCTGGAATTTTAATTAAAAAAAAAAAAAATCGTCTGTCTTTCCATATAATGGCAATAAAAACCGTAGTTTATTGTCGAGTGTCATAGGAAAAGTAAGTACCAAGAGGCTAGTTACTAGATGTTACCGTTGCCAGTCATTTGGGCCCACATCACCATACTGCAACAAAACGATTCGTTGAGACAAATGCGTCCAAACACACGATGCCAAGATCTTGCCCGATACTTGAGCCTAAAGCAAGCAAAAATATGTGCAAAAGGAACAAACGCTAACGGAAACAATAACAACAATAAAGCATATATATTACATAAAATGGTTTAGGGGAATTTCTGTCTAGCGACATTATCCCCGCTGAAATGGAATAACGAAATTTTTATTATTTACATTATTTTATTTTGAGGAAAAAATATTAGATTAAAAACCACAGCTATCATGGCCCAATTAAACAAGAGCGTTCTTTATTCTCCTGTGCAAATACATGTCCATGCAATAGTAGCCTATTTGGCAGCAGATAGTACTGGTACTAGCTACGCATTGCTTCAAAAAATTAAAGATTTCATCTCTGATGTATTCAAGCACCATCAACATATTTGTGGCAATGTGCATTTCTGATATGCGGGTATACCGGGGCGTTTCTGAAGCAAGCCTCAGAAACATATTCTGCATAACCGCAGCCTGGCGACATTTCTGCATGTCAGGCCCCAGGAGGGGCACGCATACAGGCGCATCGGCGTCGTATTGACACCCTTCTGCAGTGTTTTCGCAAGGGTTGAGCTGGCGAATCGTCTTGGACGAAAGTAAAATCTTCGTGCTATCGCCGTACGTGTGCATTTTCTGAATGTGCCGCGACAAGGCGAAGAGATTGCGAGAGAAGGCGGAATCCGACGAGGTGATAGGACGGCCGAGGGGGGGGGGTCCGTTTGGCGTCGCCGCATTGTTCACGCCCGGGCCCAGAGCCTCGAAGGGTGGGAGGCCGTCGTGGAGGGGGTGGTTCATAAACGCTCGGCACCGCCCTGCAGTCACATTCCTCGTCGAGACGGGTACGATGGCGGAGGGCGTCTCCGTCGTAGATCCTCCCCTGGTCAACGGCAACCGGCCCGAGGACAAGAGCGAGATCAGTGCGCCGAGCCCCATCGACGGCTTTTTCATGTTCAAAGACAAAGTGTGCTCGCAGACGGGTGTGAACAGTGGTGTAACTGAGTGCAACGGCCGTCCGATGCCGCAGGAAGACCTGGAGTCCATCAACTCCGAGGAGGACAACTGTCGCAAAAAGAGATGCTCCGATAGATACGATTCCTCCGAAAGTTCTGACAGGTCAGTCTTGTCATATAAAACACCAGTTTTCCGGTATAAAACATGGAGACGAAATCTCCAAAACAGTATGAAAATGTTTTATAGATAAGGAGAGAAAGCGCCGAGGTCAAGGGAGGTTCTGATTGATAAAAACGGGGTCTGGCATTGTGCGAACCGTGTAAGAAACCCCCTTTTCGACAATCAATGTCATTAACACCGAGTCAACAACCTTCGTGCGCTCCTCTTCAGCCCAGACATGGCAATCTTATTTCGTTTAAAACTCCTTACTAAAATGAAGAAAAATCAAACACTCTTCAATAAAATGTTGCTTACCTCTTAAAGCTGTACATTAAATAAATAAATAAATAGCAATAGCAACTTAGACTGCATAAATAGCATTTTAAACAACTCACCGACTGATTAATGTTGAATCCACTTGTAAACCAACTCAAGATTGATTTTCTTCATCAGACTTAGTTTCGCCCTGCTTAATTCCTGAGCGTTTCATCGACTTTGTAGAAACTACATGAGGTTGTAATACTCCGCCTTCTTAAAACTTTTCTACCCCAACATGTCCAGAAAACCTGTACCTCAATGAAGTTTGTAGCTTCACCCAGGTTGCAAAGTTTGTATTGCAAGCCCAAGAATACATTTTCTCCCGAGTAGGTCTGCGCAGACTGATATCAAGTCGGACTTCCCTACTTCCACAACTCCCGGTTTTCACATGTCCACCCAGTCATTTTCTAAAATATTATTATTTATTTATAATAAATGTATTATAGACAATGCATACAGAATAGTTTTGATGTAATACTATGCACTATGCAGAATAAAATAAGCCATACACAATTAAAGTAACGTTAAAAAAACCTGCAAGTAATACATTAAAATAAAGTGAAATTATATTAAATGTGTCTATTGGCTGAGTTGAATTATCCGCCCTATAGTTTTTTATTGTGGCGTTTTTGAGAAAAACCTGAGATACGTAAACTTTAATTTTTGTCTTGTTTATCATGAACCAAAATATTTTGAAGTTAGGATAGTAGGATACGAATAAAAACAACAGTTTTAAATGGCGAGATCAGTTAACATTTTTAGGTTTTTTTGTCGCTGAATTCAACGGCAATAAATCAGTTCGTGGATGAAATATTGGAAAATATTTTGTTTTTCCGATAAAAATGTTCGGAAATAGTTTTTTTTACGAATGCATAAGTGGAAAACAGTAGACAAATTAACGAAGAACCCAAACAGGGTGGTTAATTCAAAAATGGAATAAAAGCCATAAGGAGCCTGAGTGCTACATAATTTGTATCTAAATTAAATAAAATTTCTTTCTATTTAAATTTTTGCCCCGTTGAATGCAGTATCAAAAAACCTTAAAAAAGTACAAATATGAGTAGCTTTCCATTTGAATTTCCTATTCGTACCCGCGCTCCTGGAGAGTTAAAAAACGTTTTGACTGATAAGAAACTAGACAAAAAGTAAAAGTTTACGTGTCTGTTTTTTTCCTCCCAAAAACGCCACAACAAATAAAGGGAGAACAAAAGCTAAATTAACCCTGTGTTTGTAAAATAAGACAGCAAAAGAAAATAATAATAATAAATCAATGCAACATTTGGACTTGTGCCGAGACTCTTTAATCTTAAAACTTCCGGTAGAGAACATAAAAATGTCATTTATTTTGCTTTTAAGTCACCAGAATTTAAGTTCTGAATGCAACTGATGTTTCGATAAATATATTGATCTGAAGGAAGTCAAAACAGGGTAGTTAATTCATAAATGTAGTAGGCCCCTGAGAGTTACCTAAATTATACTTAAATTGAAATGAAATTTCTTTCTGTTAACACAGTTTGAACCTTTCAATTCAACGTCAAAAAACTTTTAAAAATGTACCATGAAGAGTATATTTTCATTTGGAATAGTTAACTCTATTCTGGAGAGTTAGATCATAACTTTTTTCTTAGACAAAAATAAAAGTTTACATGTTTCGAGGTTTTTTACCAAAAACGGCCCAATTAAAAAAATAAAAAGGGAAAAGAAGCCAAACTAACCCTTACACTTACACCCTTAATTTACAACTAAAATAGTAAGAGAAAAAAAATAATAATAAATCAGTATAACATTTGACTTGTAAACAGAATTTAATCTGCAAACTTCCTATACAGAACATATAAATATGTAATTTTTTTTTCCAAGCCATCAGATTTAATAACGTTTTTTAAGTCTGTTTGCAAAAGATCTTTCGATAAATATTTTGATCTGAAAGAAGTCAATAGTTAAAAAAAATGTGATAGGTCATTAGGAAGGAGTCAAGGAGCAACACAATTGTATCAAAATTGAAATAAAATTTCTTTCTGTTAAAATAAATACGGGAAATTTTATTGTTAGCTAAGCGAAGTTGTACAAGTCTTTATTATTTGTTAATGTGAATTTTGAACATTTTCTAAAATCTATTTTCTATCTTTTTCTCCGCTTATCCTCTGAGGTGGGAAAGTGTGCCCTATCCTATCTTTGTACATAAAAGTGTATTAAAATGTGTGGGGTGGAAAACATTGTTACGACCCTTCTCCCCTCTTTTTTTTATTGTTCAGCTACTCCCCATAATTTTTTACTGTGTCGTGTACTGTATGAAATTAACAGTACGCTTTTATTATATGGAATCTTCAAATTTGGTGATGTGGGGTGTAATAATACTTAGCGACTGCTGATACTATTGTTTTGGTACACCTTAGAAAATTTACAAACCTGCACATCCTCCATTGTTTATTTTATGGAATATTTCGACAAGCAATAAATAATTTAAATGGCCACAAACAAAACAGTCTTTAATATATTGATTTATAATTTTTCATCACAACCGCACTTTACATAAAAATTATAAAGTTAACTAGGACCAACTAAAAACATATAGCTTCAATGCTTGTCAGATTTGATCAAGTGAAATGTTATGGACTTTAGTGGACCATGTTAATCTTATGATATTGGCTGTTTCTCAATATCTGGCAATTATTGGTAGCTGTTGTAAAAAGGAGTTAAATTAAAAATACTTTGTCTATAATTTTTAACTACAACTATCAAGACGAACTTTGGAAGGTCTTATCTCTTATTAAGTCTTGTTTACTATTTAGAAATAAGCATTAATTAAAATTAATTTTTTATGCCAAATACAATAAATAAATAAATACATTTGTCAAACCGCTTATCGGCGTGCAAGGTTGGTTATAAACAAAAATCCCAAGATCGTATCTCTACTTAAAACATTTTCGAAGATTATCGATAAAAATTATTTAATCAAAACGCGCCGGGAGATAATGGCAAGGGCATTTTTTCAATGTAATTTATTTATTGTCAAACTGAGTTTTCGATTGATATTTTGATGTTCATAAATTCTCTTATCTCCGTTTCCACGCTGGGACGAGAATGTTTGCAGATTTGTTAACAAGCATATAACATGACAATAATCGCTGATAACAAGTGGAACTGATAGCGGAAGAAGGGATATGAGTATTTGTATTATTTCTTGATAGTAAATGAATAAAAGGAAATAAATACCCATTCTTAGGCTGGGTGACAAAGTCGTGTGTACTTTAAATTTAATTATACCGTCAAATTTAACGCTTGAAATAACGATTAGAATACAAAAATTTGCTATAAATTCGTTGAAAATTGTATTAAAAGTGTAAAAAAAAATGTCTGGTCATTTCTGATCCTGATCCGCTTGTGCTCGCTAGTTTGGTCTGTCAGGCGCGTTTAAATAATCTACATTTAAATTTAACAATTTTTCAATAGTTGATAATTACACGAGTCTATTAAAAAGTCAATAAATAAAAACGCAACTATATCAAATATATATGAAATTAAAATTATCTACTGGCTCAAGATTCTCAGACTGTGAGATTGATATTCACCTTGTGTATGAAAGATAAAGAATGATGACCGATTTTTAGTTTGTGTCCTTTTGCTGAACTGTTTAAACTATTTAAAAAAATTCCACTTTCTTCAGTTTGATAGTTTCCGATAAACTTGGTCAGTGTTTACCTTGCTTGTTCGGTCTGTCAGATGTCTTATTGTGTAGGTTTTTCTTCCAAATGACATACAGACCACGCTCTGAAGATGGCGAAATGCGAAGATAGACTGGCCATTATTATCGGAGATAAAACCCTAGGTGCATCACCCTGCAATCCTCATTAAGTCGTTTCAAAATGTATAACTCTTATTGCTATTGGAATGTTTCTGTTTTTTAAAAGAGATTATAATCGGTAACTATAATGGAATATGTACTTTGTGTCGTTACCGATTCTCGTTGGCCTATTTCTGCTGTTGTAGAGTTTTAGCATTCGTTGTGGGTTTGTGTCTGTACGTTATTTGGCCTGTCGTGTTCCACCAAGCGACAAAAAATTCACTGAAGCTGGTGAAATACCTAATAGAATGGCTTAAAAAAATTGGTTGTAACTGTGTGACCTTGTTCCGCATAAACGAGAGTCTACCATTTCATATTATTTAGGCTAAACGGGCTGAAAGTTGTTGAAATTCATTCATAACAATTTCCACCGATCATCCTGGTTGCAGTACGGGGTGAAACGAGAGGCCAAGTTTGGGCCCGCAAAGGATCGATAGCCTCCGTTCGGCATTTCAAGAATTAGCGCCCTTAACAATTTCGCCCGACATATGCAATTTGGAATAGGGTCCAGCGTGTCGGCCCCAAGGCAGATATCGAATCCTCCTGGGAGTCCAGGGACGGACCTGATGAAATTGTAGAAAGTGGGGGAGCCGCGAGCACAGAAAACTTGGTACCTGCTATGGCCGCCTGCTCACTTTTTCTGACTAAACCTCCTTTCCTCGTTCCCTGATTGACACCTCTATTTTGGTCTTTTAAACTCTCACTTATCCTGTGGATGACCTTAAGCTGATAGCTCTTTAGCTACTACTTTATTACTGTTTTGAAATATTTTTAAGCTCATACATTGTTGTTTATCAAAAAGGTTCAATCAAAACAAAGGTTAGTCCACATCCATTGTATTTTAAAATTGACAAAATCAAAATAACCACTAACGTACTTGATACAATCGCACAAACAGCGTATAATAAATTCATAAGTGTACTTTGCCTCTGCCTAACAGATGCGTTTCGGACTCTTCAGTGGTAGGTCTGTTTAGGGGTAGGTGGTAGGTCTGTTAATTTCTACATCATGAAATTTGTTGAGGTCTGAGAATCTGGAATTTGGTACTGTGATAAGTTTTATGATTATGAAGTATGCAAGGTTTAAATTTTTTATCATGGTTAAAAGAAATCCATCTACATAGTTCAACGAGAAATAATTTTTTGTCTGTCTGTCTCACTCTCTCTCTCTCTCGCTCTCTCTCTCTCTCTCTCTCTCTCTCTCTCTCTCTCTCGTTCTCTCTCTCTCTCTCGTTCTCTTTCTTTTTTTTTCTCACACACACCTCTATCTATCGAACTGTATTTCTATCTATATCTATTCTATCTGTATCTAACATTCTGCTCTCTATGTTTTTTTTAAACCGATATTTAACCTTAGATGTTTTTCTTATCATTGTGAACTTGTCTCGGACGCAAGATAACAGGATAAGAGTTTTATCATGCTTTTTTTCTGTCTTTCTCCATCCCTTATTTTATTTCTTTTTCTATCTTTCCATTTCTCTCTTCTCGCTCGCTCTCTGACTCTCTCATACTCTATGTCTCTTTCTTTTTTATTTCTTTCTCTTCTTTTTTATTTCTTTCTCTTCTTTTTTATTTCTTTCTCTTCTTTTTTATTTCTTTCTCTTCGTTTTTATTTCTTTCTCTTATTTTTTCTTTTTCTCATTCCCATGTCTTTTCTCTCTCTCTCTATTTCTTTATTTCTGTCCCTATGTCTCATTTTCTATCTTTATCTATGTTTTATTTTCTTTATTTATTTCTCCATCTTATTTTATTTCATTCTTTCTTCATCTTTCATGTTCTTTCTTTTTTTCTCGGTCTCTCTGACACACTTTCCCTTTCTTTCCTTTCTGTCTGTCTCTCTCTCTCTCTCTCTCTCTCTCTCTCTCTCTCTCTCTCTCTCTCTCTCTCTCTCACTTACTCCCCCCTCTCTCTCTCTTACTCTCTCTCTCTCTCTCCCTCTCTCTCTCCCTGTCTCTCTCTCTCTCTCTCTCCATTTCTTTCTTGCTTTCTCTTTCTTTCCCTAGTTCTTTCTCTTTTTGTTTCCCCCCTCACTCTCTTCGTCGCTAGGAGGTGTTGTTAGTAGGAGTAGGAGTGGTTGAATGTTAACCATTCTGAAACTATAAACAAATAATTAATTATTCATACACCCAAATTTTCAGTATAATGAACCAAGAAATCCGGCATATAAACGTACATAATTGACTGAAATTAGTTTTCTGCCCTGAGATAGAACAGCTAAAGTTATGCCACAAAGTGAAAGCAAATTTGTTTAGTTTTCATGACCCCTTCATTTCTAATTATTCAAGGTTTACAAATGATTTTTATTTTACAAGTTTGTACGGTGAAACTTTATCCTTTTATAAGTAAATTGATATTTATAAATAAGTAAATAACAGTCTGATTACCTTGTTAGATTGCAGTTTATACTATTTGATCAAGTTAATTCTAATGTTAGGCAACATCGTGAGGAAGCATATTCGTTTTTTTTTCTTGACCCTTTCAGTTTTAATTGCTCGACCATTACGAGTGAATTTTCGTTTGCACGGTGAAAAGTTTTTGTTAAAGTAATTCCATGCTTTACGAATAAAGCTGCTAGAATGTGGAATCTGTTTAGCAAGTAAACCACTGTTTTTCTTTTCTTTTTTATTATAGCATCTGTTTGTTTGTATATATAATTGAAACTACAAAACTAGCTTATTATATAGATATTAAAAGTTATCGGCTGTTGTGCATAAAGTTACGGTTTGTTCTATACCCTTTTGTTATCTTCAGCGGTTATTTCGGATTGTTTTGTAAATAAAACTAAGCTTTTTCGACGGGCCTCAAAGCAAATCCTTTTAAATTTTCATAGGAAAACGCACCAAAGGCTCTACATAGACCGTACAGTATATTTATGAAGGCGAAACTGTTATGACTGGGGTATTAAGGAGAGGGTCATGACTTCATGATACGTGCCTTCTCCCGGTCTTGAACTTTGAGCGTTCACCTTAGTCGGCATTTTTTTTCCAATCCTGGTCAACATGATTTCCAGTATAAAAAGTCCGCAAGTTCATTGGTAACTACATAAATCTTTTAGCGGTACATTTCCTATTTCGAATCTGGAAAATTATGATTTTATTATTAAAAATTAACGGCTTAAAACGTTTTTTTTTTTGGTCCCAAAGGATATGCAAGTATTAATAAATGCTGTTTTTCGGTATAAACCCGACGGGCCTGGTTCACTTTTCGCTTTTGTCTTTCTCGTTTGGCCCCTTGTCGTTTTCCTTTGCAGTATGGAAAGGAGCGACTCTTTCCCATGGCACTATTATTTCATGGGTGGTTTGATCAGAATTTACCGTCTCATGGCGGCGGTTGTAACGACGTCGTTGATCAATCAAGTTGAGCGAATTTAATCTAAAAAAAATAAGTTTAACACAAAAATTTTTAAAAATTGTAATTCCATTGAGTTTAGTAAAGTTTTATCTGGAATCCAAATAAAGGATCACTATGACAGTTATTTACTCGTTTGTGAAAGTAATCATTTTATTATTTTGTTTACAATGGTAGTGTATAATTCTACTTATTTTGAAAAATTATTTTCTAGTATAATTTGCACAATAAAACCATAAAAACCCCAAAATAAATAGCAATACGTTTATATAACTTCATTATGTTTTGTAAATGTCGGTATTAAGTTATGTTCTCCTTTTGTTTTACACCCTTGCGAACGTCGAAGAGTAATTAAATATTACGAATGTCTGGTAAAGTCGATCAAAGTCAAATAATCAAACCTGGAAATATTTTTAAAAAGAGGAAAAAATCCGAAATTCTCTACTAACGTCTCTTGTCGATTTTCATTCTAGTCTTAAAATTCTGGCCTTAAACCAATCAAGTACTTATTTCGAGATGGAAGGAAGTCGGTTTAATAGTTCGGAGCATGAAAAATGCATTTGAGAACGCTAGTTAACTTAGCTTTTTAAATACACGAGGCCTTCATCCTGTGAACAATTTGTTTTGTCGGGCACAATACGTTGTTTTCTTTTAAAATGAATCCTTAAAATAAATTATTAACAATTGTTTTGTTTATAAATTGGATATTGAAAGGTCGTATTTTTGGGATTTTAACGATGAGCCGGACGGGCGCGCTTATCGATGCGATGTCAAGATAGATCTTCACCGTTCAAAGGATGTCCCAACCTCTTTTCCTTTGGCCGTACAGGTAAAACAGCTCTACCTGCTCGGCCCCGCGTAGCTTCAGAACGCACATATGCGCCCGTGACGAAATAAAAAGGTGTAGTAACGGGCACGTGCTTTATATTCAATATTGAGTTACATAAAATATTTTGGAGAAAAATATCCCAGGACCAAGGCAAAATCAGACAAACAGAACTGTAATATAGAATTTAACGAACAACGAATAGGTTGTGCATACATCATTTGTATGTTATGTAAACCAATTTCAAGGAGAAGTTCTGCTGTAAATGAAATTAGTCTCGTCTGTTGATAGATTTAGCAAGTACCAATTTTGTATGTATAATATTGCCCATTGACCCCAAGAGAAGTTTAAAGAACTGTCGTTATACGAAACATTATCCCAGAACAAAGTCTAACCCTAAACAAAATAACTATTATTTATACTCGGTACAATCTTGGCCCATAACTTTATAAGTTCAATTTCAGTTTCAATTGAAGCAAGCCACTGGATTCGAACCCGGGACCTTCACCTTACAGTGATAAGCGCCGTGTCAAATGTGACTTCATTTTCTATATTATGAAATCCCCGCCATCTTCAATTTCTATATTATGAATTTTCTTGGAGAGTTCTGCGGGGAGATGAGCCATTAGTCATTTCTGATCATCTCGGTCTGCCTATCATTGCTTGTTTGATAGGCCGGACGTCTTATTCTCTCATATTTTGACAATATAATGCACAGTCAAAAATCTGACCGTGGCGAGAAGCCTATATGACTCCGACAAACGAAAACAGCGAGGATGGGCAGACTAAAATCATAGGAAATTGCAAATTTACTGGTTTTATGTATAAGGCTAGATAGAGTATCTTTCCGATATATTGTAAAATAATTGATTATATGATTTATAAAGCTGTGGTAAAATGAAATTGATCTCTTTGCTGATAATAGCCTGGTGGCCGCCTCTTTTTTCCCAATCCTTATCCATATGTCTACAAACTAAACTGTTTAGTTGTAGAAATTTCAAATGTTGGAAAAGTACCATGATTACTGCAATTTGATACCAAGGCTAACTGAAAAACGAGTTTTAAAATCCACAGGGGCAGTCAGACTAGTAACTGGTGACTGCAAATTCTTCCGCCTGCTGTTAAATTTCGTCTCAATTTTATAAGCTCATGGAGGGACACAGGAGTCTGAAGATAACAATCAACTACTTATCGCCAAGAGATGTATAAAGGCACGTGCAGCTCAAGAAAAATATCTAAAAAACTCCCTCCCCTCAGCCGCCATCCTCCATTATATCTGTTTACTTCACTACTGTTTATCTGCAAGTGTGTTTTTATGAAAATGCAAATTAGGAGGGACGAAGAGGAGCGGTGGGCCAGGTGCTGGTTTCGCCATTGTGTAAAAGGGTTGCAGGAGTCACCTGGGCGGACCAGTCATGCAGGGCTTCGTTGCCGACTATCTATAACGGTGTAGGAATTCGGTTCTGCAGGTCCATTGCCCGGCGAAGGCTTTTCATTTTTTCTTTGTTTCTTTTTTTTTAGACAACGTTCGATAATTTTCCGCCGTTACAGATCATCTCGCGGTTTATCGCGCAAGAAGAAACGATGCCCCCGCGGGATAATCCGGCCCGATTACGCTCTTTTTTCTGCCTCCGTTCCTTTGTTGGCTTTGAGTGTGTTGCCTTTATGCTCGGTTGAGTTCTACCGGTTCGAAAAATCCAACTCGGAAAAACGGTTGCGTTACAACGCACCTTCCATTTTGGTTATGTCGCCAATGTTTCATTTTCAGACAGGGCAACAAAAACGGCATCATTGTTTTCCTAAGGTTTCTCCGAATCATTACAAACACAGTTAATTGTGTTGGGTTAACTCGACTCATTTCAAGAATACTTTCGATCACGACAAAAATGTTAAAGTACAACATTTTACAGATATTCAAAAGCTTTAAGCGTTTTTGTAGTAAGTGGCCAGTTCTGAAATGAATAGTATGCAAATAGCTTATGCACTCAAAAGCATTGCGCAAATCGTCGAAGAGAACAAACACTTCAAACTGTTTCCGGTTTTGCCACTAAAACCGGTCACATTGTGCTTACATTAACGCGTGTAAAGACTGTTATTATTAAGCAACATACTTGAGACTTTTCAGTATCTACATACGTATTTTACAAGAATTAAACAGTATTTTGAAATTCTTAAGGAAAACAGATACACCTTAGTTCATGTTGTAATTACATACTTGTATCATTGTCTTTCATTTATGTACGATTGCTTAGAAATATTCCTTTTAGATTGATAGGTCTCGTCATTACATGGCTGTTGCATTTGTTGTTACAATATAATAATCATAATGATAAATCAAGATATATCATAAATCATAGTGAGGCGGTTCATAATGTAAAGAGCTTTTTATGAGAAACGATATGGATTTAGATAATCGAAAAATGATCATTATCATAAATAATCGACAAAGAAATCCATTACATAGTCCACTCGCAATTTTTCTCCTCAATGGAAATATGTATCTACAGCGACTCCCTTCTTCCTATTCTACTCCAAACACCCCAAACCCAAAAAACAATTTTTGTGACTATAATCAGAGCACTGTTTAAATTTTTCATCATAATAAAAAAAATCCATATGGTTCAACGAGAAATATTCTTTTCTCCGACTATCCCTTTTGTTAGTCTCTATTTCTGTCGGTTTCTTTCCGTCTGTTTATCTGTCTCGCTCTCTCTCTCCCCCTCTATCTTGCATTCTCTCTCACTCTCTCACTTTTATGAACAATTGAAAAAATCCGTACATGTAGTTCAACAAGTAATAATAGTATTTTGTCTGCATGTCCGTTTCTCTGCTCTGTCTTTCTTTCTTTCTCTCATTATGTATATTTTTTCTCTTCTTTTATTTCTTTCTTTATCTTTCATTTTCTATCTTTCTCCGTTTGCCTCTCTCTCTCACTCTCTTTCTCTCTCTCTCTCTCCCCCTCTCCCCCCTCTCACTCACTTTCTCCTTCTCCCTCTCTTCCCGCTCACTCTCTCTCTCTGTCTCTCTCTCTCTCTCTTTCTCTCTCTCTATCTCTCTTTCTCTCTCCTTCCCTCCTCCCTTTCTATCTCTAGAGCTTTCATTTCTCTTTCTTTCTCTCTCTCTTTTTTCTTTCCTCCGTCCTTCTTTTTTTTCCTCTCTCTCTCCATTTCTATCTTTCTCTATCTCTGTCTCTGTCTCTTCCTTCCTTCCCTTTTTCTCTCTCTCTTTTCTATCTCTATCCCTCTCTTTTCCTACCTTTCTCCCTCTCTTTTCCCTTCTCTCTTTATCTTACTCTTTTTCTTCCTCTCCTTCCTTTCTTTCCACTACTTTCTTCAATTCTATTGGTTTGTTTACTTTCCATTGAGTTATTTGTTAGCAGTGTGTCGTTAAGCACAAGTTGAAAACCTGCGAGCGATTCGGATTATAATAAGACAAATATTATAAAATC